AAAGCTTGAGCTAAATCCTTGCCATGCTCAAAGCGAAAGACATGCTAGAAAGCTCCAAAAGGCAGAAGGGAAAAAGCAAGGAAGTGAGAGACGAAACTCCTGCCAGTTGATAACACCAAAACGATATTATTTACCTTGCAATTATTAGGTGAAATTGTGTTAAAATGATCTCCAATTTCTTTAAAAAATGTCATTTCCAAGTCCATTTTATTCCTTTTCGTTTATGATGTTGTTTCGGGATGTTTGTGACATTATGAGAAAAAACGGGGATGAAATGGGCAGCAATGTATAGAATCAAGGAGAAGGACCAGAATGACAAATATCGCAGCCGAAGGACCCAAGTTCCCAACCATGAAGATGGACCGCGAACCTGCCAAAATATAGCGGGCCAAGACCAGAAGATCAACAACCGCGAAGTTGAGCATGCTAACCGTGAACTCTTGAAGGGGACGCTGCTGGGAGAACAGATAGTTTCCCCACTCTCTTCGCGAGCAACGTGGATGTTGACCAAGTAAAAAGATCGCGTCTGCGACGTAGTAGTTCGCGATCTCCCATCTTCAGGCCGCAAACTTGCCCGAGATTTCTAGCGCCTATAAATAGAAGAGCTGCTGGAGTGAAAAAGGAGAGCCGCCTTGGGGTGAGAAAATTAGGGTTTGGAGTGCTTTAGAGAGAGAAGCACCTTGGGAGAGCTTTATTGAAGATCCATTCAAACTAAGAACCAAGGAGAAGGTGCAAGCAATGAGAAGAAGCTTGATTCCATCATTCCCCTCTTCTAGTTTGTATTTTCTTCTTCTCTCTAATGACTTGAATCTCGAGTGGTTGTTTAGGGTAAATGAATCCTAGTTATAGGTTGTGAATGTTTGGGTTTGGAATGAATGAATGAATGAATGTGTTTGTCTAGTTTATTTTAATGCCCCTCTTTCCTAAATGATGATGCTTGGGTAAGTCACCATAATTTTCCCTCTTAGCCTACTTTATGCCATCGCGCTAGGTATGGAGTTCTAGGGTTAGACGGGTATGCATCATCTGGCTAGTTTATGATAGATGTGTGAATGAGGGTCTTTAGTGGTCGAGGCGACCAAACCCCTACTATAGGTAGCCTTCCTAGATAAAACCCGGGATGAAACCTCGGTGTGGACGATGGATAGTGTCCATTGAAATGAGCCATAAGCTTAATGCCCTAGATGCGATAGCCTAGATCAAGGTGACTTGAACATGGGTTTAGGGGAGGCATACTCGGAGGCGTGTGGATAACCACGAAAGCCCACGGAAAAGAGCTCACTCACCATATTTGATTAACCCTACTTTACAACCTTAGCTATTAGACTCTAGGAAACCATCTCATCTCTAGCGTCCTCCCAACCACTTGGTTGGTTGTTTATTTTGCCTTAGGAGTAGGATAAATTAGCTAAAATCCCCTCACCAAACTTCCATCCCGATTATATAGTAGTTCAGAGCGAAGTAATTATACCCTTACGGATCCCTTGGAATACGATCGAGCCAGTTTACTACAACCCTAGCTAGGTTATACTTTGCTTAGTTAGGATTGATAAGAGAGTGTGCTTCGACTTTATAAATTTAAAGTCTGATCGCGTATCGAAGCACGATCACCAGTCCTGCTCAGATAGAAGGCGGGGAGTCCAAAGGAGAAGAAGGCGATGAGGAATTGAATATAAGCTTCTTGTAAGAACACCTCAGGTCGTTATATGGGAAAGTGAAGAGCTACAATATATTACGTAACCCGCTGGCAAAAAGTCTGTTCAAAACACAAGTGCCATCTAACTTTTTATTATTGGGACTACCAGCCTACAGCGGAAACTCCGATCCGACCGACCATCTGAATGCATTCATGCTTAAGATGCAGCTTATCAACTCCTCATACGCAGATTTGTGTAAAGCGTTCCGAGTCACATTCAGCGGTCAATACGAAATCTGGTACACTGATAGACCGTTAGTTACACATGTTTTCACCCCTGTTCTTACACCGTTGGAGATGTGGTTTCTCGTGTTTTAGACCGATTTCACGCTAGGTTGTGCTTGTTTGTGATATTTCAGGTCCTGGCAAGTGAATGAAGGTTTAGGAGCGAGTTCGGGGTCGATTGGACTAAGATCGGGCGCGAGGCAAGTCACAAAGGAGGTCACACGGGCTGCCCTAATGTTCACACGGCCGTGTGAAGGAATGGCCTGGCCGTGCGAGTTTTGCCGAGAGCACACACGGGCAGAGCAGACAATCCACACGGCCGTGCAAGTGGCCGGGTTGGCCGTGCCACATTCTGCGAGAGCAAACACGGGCAGGAAGGAGAGTTCACACGGCCGTGCCATTCTGGCCGTGCAAAGAGCCTGGAATTCGAACTAATTGGAACGCAGCGTTTTGACTCACACGGGCAACTGGGTAAGCCACACGGCCGTGCCACCCTGGCCGTGTGAGTCGGGATTTTCTCCTTTTAAGCATATTTTCAGCCACAATTCGAGGGGATTCGAGTTTTTGAGAGAGAGAACGATTCCTAGAGAGAGAAAGCGACGAACAAGAGTCTCCAAGTGCCCTAGATTGATCTTCAACACCATTGGAGGCCAGCTTGAGCTTGGAGGAGTGCCAATCAACGTCCAGGAGCAGGAATCCATCCTTCGCAGTATGAATTCCGTGTCTGATTCTGCTTTTGCTTTCTTCTCTATGGAGTAGTTCTCCCATTCATCTGGGTATGGAGAACCCTAGATTTGTATGTTAGGCTTTGATTGTATGAACCCAAGTACTGCTTCTTTGATTGATTATATTCGATTGAGGTTTTAATGATTGAATGACTTGAATCCTGATCAAATTCCTGTTGTTTCTGCTTTAACCTAGAATGAGAATATCTGCCTAGGTTAATAGAGTATCCTTGATTGAAGGTAGGGAGTTGGTGACTTTAGTCGAGGAACCAACTCACTATTCTGTACCGGATTTACTCCGGTAGTGGAGGTTTTGTTCTTAGGGCCTCAATCTGTCTACTCCGGTGGAGGTTAGTCGCCCGCTAGAGAGTCAGATTGAGAGGGTCTGAAGACCTTTAGTCGAGACTTCAGGCTAGTTAAGAACCTTCCGCAGTATAACCATCATAGAAACTGAACTTGGTAATTACAATCCGGCTTAACTGCAGTCTAGGGGGAACCATATCCGGGTGACCTCTCTTAACCTGAATACAACAGTTTACTTGCTTTGTTAGTTTGTCAGTTTAGACTTGCATTAAAGTTTCATTGCTAGATAACAAGAATTCACTGAGTAGTCATCACATCTAGGACCCGGGTTGATAATTAAACCTAAACCCGCTATACTACGCTTTAGGAAGTGGTTTCACTTGGCCAATTCCTAGAGTGACAGTAGAGTCGAGTCATACACCTCCCTCCCCGAAGGAATAATCGAAAGTTTTGAGCAGTTCGTCACTCTTTTCATCAAAATTTGCATCCCAGTGGAGAAGGAAACTCACGGTGTCAGCACTCATCAAATGTAGATAGGGAAGAGAAGAGACGCTGATAGACTTTTATGATAGGTTGAACACCATAGCCTTTGAAGTACATGGAATATCACCCAGCATAGCAGCAGGCAACTTACGAATGTCTACCCATAGACGTGACCCGAAGAGGGCGCTCATTAAGAAACAACACAAATTAGGGTCTTGGCCAGACCTTCACTGCCTAGTAAGGAAGGCTATCGTGTTAGAAGAGGCGCTGGTGACTGAAGACATCGCAAAGTCCACTAATTCCATAGTAGAGAACGGGGATAAAAGGAGATATGGATCGCCAAAGAGAAGGGGAGGCACACCTGAGAGGCGGAATTACAAGCCTCGACTTGCAAATCGAGACAACATGCATGAAGTGTTCACTGCCAACAAAGAAGGAGGTAGACACAAGGAAAGAGGCGAATCGAGAGAGGAGCATTAGACGCGAAGGAGAGATGACGACCAAAAGTGGTGCGACCAGCACCAACTGGCGACTCATGACACCACAGAGTGTCGTGAATTCAAAGACAGTCTCAAGTATCTGGCGCAAGGAGATCTGAAAATCCTCCTAGATACACGTAAGCACAATATACACGAGGTTGACGAAAGAAGAAGATCATAAGCCCAAGAAGAAGATCTCGAACGCCCAGACTTAAGAGGATAGGACACCTAGGCGAGCGCGATCTCCTCGATGAGAATGCTTGACACCACCGCCAAGGTGTACTCCTCTGCGGCAGCAACCTTGAATGAATAAGGATGAAGTAGAAGTTATAACAATAGCGAGAGGACATAAGCGGCCTCAAACAAAAGGTGATCGCCTACCCCAATATTTAAGCGTTCACAAAAGCGAGCATGTTGAGATAAGCTTCTCACCCTCTGAGCTGACACTAGTGGAGTGCGGAGAAGATCTGCTGGTTATCGCCTTTCGAACAAGGAATTTCGTAGTCACCAGAGCGTTGGTTGACAATGGGAGTTCAGCAGACAATCTGTTCTATTCAACCTCGAAAAGCATGAAGAAGAGTGTGCAAGATCTCAAACCAGCAGCAACCAGTATGGTGGGGTTCTTAGGGTAAAAGATTTGAGTGTTAGGGTCCATAACACTACATGTTACAATAAGAGAAGTGGGAGCCACGAAAACGTTCCTTATAGATTTTTCACGTAGCTGACTGTCCATGGCATATAATGCGATTCTGGGGCGCGGTTTCCAATTGACTTTCTCAGCGGTCCCATCCACGTGGCACCAGGTATTCAAATTTCCCGTTGGAGGCAAAATTGGACGCGTTCAGGGAAACACACAGCAAGCAAAGGAATGCTATCAGACAACCATTGCAAATCTAGAGGTCGATTTGGTTGACACAAGAGGAAGTTATCCCTGTCCTAAGGCAGTTGAAGAGGATGTGATCGTCGTCGTAAATGAGGAAGAACTGAAAAAGAAATTCGCAATATCATCCACCTCCCGGAAGAGAAAGTGCGAGAGATCCTGACACTCCTCAAGGAGTATAAAAACCTGTTCGCGTGGACCTTAGAGGACATGCCAGGCGACTCAAGAGAGCACGTTGAACACCACCTGCCATTAAAAAACAAGGCAAGGCCAATACAATAGAGGAGAAGGAACGTCTCCCTATAAAAGCAAATGGCACTGGAAGAGGAAGTGAAGCGGTTGCTGAAAGCCGGTTTCATTCGGGAAGTTAGGTACCCAAGCTAGCTGGCCAATCCGGTCTTTGTCCATAAAGCGTAAGGACTATGGAGAATGTGCATCGATTTCACAAATCTTAATGCAACCTGCCCCAAGGGCGCATATCCTCTACCAAGAATTTATCTTATCGATACAACCACCAATCATGAAACTTTAAGCTTGCTCGACATATTCTATGGATACCATCAAATCAGATTGTCCGAGGAAGACCAAGAGAAGACTACATTCATGACACACATGGGGAATTTCTGCTATACGGTCATGCTGTTTGGCTTAAAGAATGCTGGAGCAACATATCACCGAATGATAGATGCGGTTTTCAAAAATCAGTTGGGAAGAAACATGGAGGCGTATGTAGATGATGTCCTTGTCAATAGCAAGAAAGAGGTTGATCACTTAAAGGACCCGAGGGAAATGTTCGACAACCTAAAGAGGGAACGCCTCAGACTAAACCTGCTTAAATATGTGTTCGGTGCAAAAGCAGTGAAGTTTTAGGGTTTCATGATAACCAGCAAAGGAATCGAAGAAAAACCAAATAAGATAGAGGCTATACTCAGCTTAAAACCGCCAAAGACTGTGAAAGAAATCCAGAAGTTCAACAAAAAATGGCCGCTTTAAGACATTTTATCCTCAGAGCGGTAGACAAATGCTCACCATTTTTTCAGATGTTAAAGAATTCAGCATCATGTCTCTAGTGGAGCACCTAATGCGACCGAGCTTTCTTCCAGCTGAAAGAGCAGTTGGCCTCACCACCAGTCTTGAGAGCCCCACTCCATGGAGAGCCGTTATATCTGTATTTGGAGGTCTTTGACCAAATAGTAAGCTCCGTCTTGGTACGAAGAACGGAAGATAGCTCAGACCATCCCCCTCTATTACCTGAGCAAGGCACTTCTCCTAGAAGAATAGCATTACATGTCGATTGAAACGGCAGTTCTAGCATTGTCTGAATGGCAAGAAAGTTGAGACCGTATTTTCAAGAGCACCAAGTCACTCATGCTCTCAAACTTGCCTTTAAAGAAAATTTTCAGAGGAATGGACGTGTTGGGAAGAATGACGAAGTGGGCGGTCGAGTTGAGCGAGCATGACGTGGCATACGCACCGCGCCCCTCTATCAAGGGGCAAGGGCTGAAAGATTTTGTAGTAGAAGGTTTTATCTTGGAGACCGCAAAGACAGAAGGAAATAAGGAAGCTGGAATTGTCATTGAGATGCCCAAAGGAGTCACACATGAGATCTCACAGATTTAAAGAGTTAAAAACCAACAATGTGGCAGAGTATGAGACACTCCTTAGCGGTCTCAGAATCGTAAGAAACATGGGCGCCTCACACCTCCACGTTCACTTTGACTCATTGTCGGTAGTCAACCAGGTGCTGGAAAATTATGAAGTCAAAGAGGAAGTGCTCGCTAAGTTATTAGGAAAGGTCCCATTCTATCTCAGCTAGAGACATGGGAGTTGGAGCATGTCAAGAGAGAAGACAATCATCACACAGATACCTTATGAAAGTTAGCAACCGCAATGGATTTCGAAGGAGACCTTCAAGTGACAGTGACCAAGGAGGCTGTGTCAAGCTACGATATAATGGCAATAGAGGAGGAAGGCAGTGATTGGTGGTCGCTTATTGATTATTTGCAGAACAAAACAGTTCTTGACGATACTATTCAAGAAAAAAACGTTGAGAAAAAATGAGGCCCTTTACACACTGGTGGAGGGGCAGCTGTGCAAGAGATCTTTCCCAGGGAACATGCGCTTCACACTCTGGACAAAGAATCTTGGAAAGAACTATATTGTTGCAAGGCTACTACTAGCCAAAGGTGAAGAAGGATACAATGGATACGGTTCGAGGGTGCCACGAATGTCAAGTGCACGCTAGCGAACATCATATGCCCAGTGAGGAACTGAACATCATAACAGGACCATGGCCATTCGCACAATGGGTTATAGATATTTTGGGACCATTACCAACTGCTCCTCTGGGAAATAAGTACCTAATGGTTGTTGTAGACTACTTCACGAAGTGGATAGAAGCTGAACCGCTCGACACAATTACCAGTGCCAAAATTCAGAAGTTCTTGTTCAACAACATCATGGTCAGGTTTGGTACCCCTAATACCATCATCATTGAACATGGTACACAATTTGACTACAGGCCGTTTGAGTATTTTTTGTGCAAGAAACTGCATTATTTGCAAAATGGCCTCAATCGAGTTTCCCCAAGCCAATGGGCAGGTAGAGTCGTCAAACAAACTGATCTTACGAGGTTTGAAGAGAAGGCTAAAGAAATATAAAGGAGGGTGGACCGCAGAGCTGTCGCATGTGCTTTGGGCGCATCACACAAATTACAAGAGAGCAACTGGAGAAACGTTGTTCGCTCTGACGTACGACTCAGAAGCGGTTGCACAAGTAGAGATGGCCCTTCCATCCCTGAGAGTCCAAACCTACAACCCATAAGAAAATCATAGGAAGTTTCTTCATCAATTGGACATGATCGAAGCACGGCGAGACGCATCGCTAGTTAGAACCATCACTGAGAAGTCCAAGGTAGCAAAGGCGTATAACAGAAAGGTGAGGCCCCGACCGCTAGAGGAAGGTGACATGATTTTAAAAAGGAACTTTGAGCAAAAGGCAGGGCACGACAAACTAGCCTCCCTATGGGAAGGACCATTCTTTGTGGGTAAGAAGATAGTACTTTGCAGAATAGAGCAAAGATAAATCGCAGGGCCACTAGGCAATTTGTACGATCGTAACCTCGATCACAACCTGCAGTGTATTTTGTCTACAAGCTATTTCTAACCATGATAATTCAAGCGCCTCTGAACAATATGTTTAAGAAAGTCCTCGCAAGTTAAACCTCCTCCGAGTGATTGTCTTTAGAAGTTCACTTCAACCACCCTAGAGCGATAAGCTTAAAATTGTTTTTACAATTTCAACCACCTCCGGGTGATAATCTAAGAATTTTTCACAATTCAGACCTCCCTCGAGCGATAAGATTTAAATTATCCTTACAATTTCAACCACCTCCAGGTGATAAGCTAAGAATTGTTCACAATTTAAACCGCCCCAGTGCGATAAGCTTAAAATTTTATTTACAATTTCAACCACCTCTTAGTGATAGGCTAAGAATTGTTCACAACTCAAACCGCCCGCGAGCAACAAGCTATAAATTTTCTCCACAATTTAAACCACCTCCGGGTGATAAGCTAAAGATTTTTCGCAACGCGAACGCATAGCAAAATTTTAAACTCAATCGAAAGCCAATCCTAGCGGTTAAAGTAAAGCGACAGGACAATTGTGATAGCAGAAAAAGGGCATCATCATTAGAAAACATAAATTGTCTTAAGCTCCTTCACAGAGTAATAAAGTTATAGCAACCACGATAAAAGAAAAATATCACACTAAGCTGAACTGACATCAGCTGTAGGTGGTTGATCGACCTCCTCTCCGGCGATGTCCGTTGAAGGTGAAACAAGTTCGGAGTTCACGTTGTCATCACCCCAAAATTCCACGACGTCCTAGATCGCATGAGAATCCCAAACAACCCTGGGGTAATCACCACGAAACCATTGATGGATAGAGGCAACAATGTCCCTTAGCAACTTTTTTTTTTGAAGGAATGTCCCTTAGCAACTTTTGATACTTCGCTTCATCTGTCGCGAATTCGTCAAAGTGGAGGAACGTAACCTTGGTATCTTCAACCATCAATGCCATATCGCTCATCAAATTGGACACTTCGTCGCTCAAACCTTTCTCCCGCCTGACGACTCCAGTGACTTTTTTCAGAAACGCTCAACATCTTCCTTTGCCCTGTTCAGCTCCTCCCTCACAACTAGGGGTGGGCAACCGGTTCAGTAAACCCGAACCAAAGCCAAATTAAACCGAACCAAAACCGAAATAATGCCATTCGGTTTGGAATTCGGAAGGAAAATATGGATATTTTGAAAATCATGGTTCTTTCAACCGAACCGAAATTCCAAAATTCCGATCGAAAAATCGAAATACTATTATGTTTATATACTTAAATAATTTAAATATTTTATGACTTATGTGTTGAAAAGTTTGATTTTATCGTTGGTTATGAATATAATTGCATATTTATTGTTTATATTAGGAGTGAAAAATAATTTAAAATTGAGAAGATACAAGTAGCCTCTCAAATTTGGTTTTGTGTGCAAAACCGAACCAAACCGAATTATAATTCGGTTTAAACCGACTGAACCGAAATATAATTCATTTCAAATTTGGTTTGAGGTTTGGGAGAACTCGGGGACCCGGTATTCATAATTTCGGTTCGGTCGAAACCGAACCGATCGAATGCCCACCCCTACTCACAACTGCATGCTCGGCGTCCTTCTTGGCATCAACGACCTCATGCTTCTTGCTTATTTCCTCCTGCAGCTCTCGCTTGAATCCCTTGCATCCCTCTTTCAGCTGGTCTTCCAGTTGAAGTATCCTGGTGTCGCGGTCGTCCAGGTCACTCTGAAGGCGGTCATTATGCAACATTATTTGGTTTATCCCAAATTGAATCTGCAAGAATAGTCAAGTTAGAGGAAAGTAATCACAAGGTACTGGCATCATAGAAATCACAAGCAATGTGCGATTAGGCTCGCCAAGTGTCTGATGGCAGACTCAAGGTTAGGTGTGCCGTCAACCTGGGTGTAATCGCTTGGGATCACAAACTCCTCAAAAATGACGTGCAAAGCACGCTTGGACGCAACATTGTGCACGGTCGCATTGGGAAAAAATTCCAAAATCGTCGCAAGCTCCATCATCTTTTCCTTTTTATTGTTAGTATAAGCAGCAAGTGATATGAAGGATTTTGTTGACAAGGATGCCCTTCATCCTTGATTGACTTCCTGAGGACCACTTGTCAGTGAGCCGCAGTTTCCAATGATCGCTACCTAGACCCATGACTGGAATCCATCTCGGTAAACTTGAGCTCCCCAGAACAACTCACAACAAGTTGTGTCTGAGCAAATGGGAGAGGAGTAGTAGCTCGAGTCTCTACCTGATCGACAGGAAGTGAAACAACTGCGGCCGCAAAGGAACCTATGCCTGGCTTCGGCGGCCTTGTCGTAGACGCATATTGTAGAGTTCCTGCGAAAGCAACAGATAAGTAAAAGCATGAGAAAATTTCGTGAAAATAACCAAGAAAGAATTAATTAATTGTGAAAGCGTCGAACTATATCTAGCGCATTATGATGCCCTTTATTCGTCTGAGAAGTTCTTTGAAGGGTGCGAGAGAAACAAGGTTCGCGTTCCAATCCTCTTTACCGCCAACCGTGAACCCAGTCTACGTCACCAGAATACCACTTTCGAGTGGGGTGGGAAAGAAATATTCTTTAAACCAAGGAAAATTTAACTTGGGCGTGCCGTAGACAAAGCCCACACGAGTCTCCCGCCTGTAGCACGACCAACAGTTGTCTGAATCGCGCATTGTATACAAGAGGTGGAAGGCATCAAACGAAGCCTCCACCCCCAATCTTTTGCAGGCTACCTGAAAAGTTGTGGATTGAAAAATAATACAGGGAGAAAGACGCCCAAGTGTGGAATTGAGATGCAGAAGATTTTGGGACAGTTAGGTGTCAAGTGGGAATTGACAATCCATCTTGATATGCTCCACATGGATAGGAATCCAAGAACCAGGACAAGAACCAGATCACCCAGCGGGAGAAAGAGCCGTGTAATCCCACTCAGGGGGAAGACCGTGATTCTTTAGTTAAGGGAGGACTTGAGATGGCTGATAAGCAGCTACGTACGGTGATTTTTGATTGAAAACATGCGATGGTATTTCTTCTCCGTCCCGCATATCCTTGTGCAAGTGCACGCGGTATGTGTAGTCAGCAATGGGTGGCCCAAAAGAAATGGTAAGAGGAGAGTCACTAGCAAAGTCGCCAAACTCAGAAGAGTTGACGTCACGCAGGTTGTCGCCAACCGTCGAGGATGCCCCCCGCAAAGCTGGTGAAGTCCCAGTATCGGCTAATGCATTCCCATCTAACCCTAAAAGGCCAAACATAGGACCTCCTAGACTCTCCACAGGGTCGCCATAATTCCTGTAACCGCATACAAGGTCAATATTCTCCAAATCCCATTCTATATAAGAAATACCAAATGGTGAAAAAGTTTCATGCATACCTTGAGCTATTAGTTTAACGCCGACAGTAGGGCCGCTGGATTCGCCGCCAATTTTAGAGGATGAGCGACAAAGAGTTGTGCATGCGGTGGAAGTCCGAGTGCTAGATACGGTACCTGGGCAAGAGTAGCTGTGATGTGATGGTTTGATGACCGAGGAAAAACCCTAGTGGACGATGTCAAATCTGACCTCGTGGACGATGAAAGAGGGAAAAAAGAAGGGTCGACCTCGCAGGTGGTTGAAGTTAGTGTGGACAGCATCCCTTGGAGGTTCATTTTAGATTCTCGAGCGGCCATGGGCAAGAGTATGGGGTAGCGGTTAATTGAAAGAAAGATAGCTCAACACGATAAAAGGAAAGTCATAACTACCAAAACCCAAAGATTTTCTTGCCTATGGGGAAATTGATGGGCCCACATGGTTGAGAGGTATCAGGCCTAAAGCCCAAGGAGGAAGGTCAGCCGGCCCAGCTCAATAAGGGAGCCCAAACGGCATGCGATTAAGGATGTTAGGTGGCCGATCGTAGACAAAATAGGAGGACTGCCTGACATAAAGCAGTATTGGAGATTTGAGGAGATCGACTAAGATTCACCTTGGTATAAACAAGGCTAACCATTAATTACCGCCGTATGCGGTTATGTACGAAATAGGATAGGTTTAGGGCACCTAACATGGCATTTAATGCCCCGAACCCATCTCTAGTTTAGTATAAATACCCCATAAGAGCATTGATGGTAAACTAAACTACTCTCTCTCTCTCTCTCTCTCTAAACCTAACACATATTCTCTTTTTTTCCCTCTAACTAAATCTTCGGAGAGTATCCTGGGATACCGCCCATGGACCCTTGTTTCGCAGTGTTGTGACCCCTATGGACACTTTGTAAATATTGGGGGTCCTTTTGTATTTTGTCTTTCTCCATGTAACGTGTAGAGGAATTAGGTTTTTTTATTTTGTGTATATAGGGGCAAGTCTCCGCAGTCGTTAATGGTTGTGGGTTCTGAGTCCCACATAATGTTTCCGTCACATTTTCTCCTCCATCCGTCGGACAGCCCGAGTAACCTATTTTTTGGTGAGTTGCTTTCATATTTGAATTATGGGGAGTGGGTCATGGATATCACCGACTCGCTCATCGCAAAGAATAAGATGTGTTTCGTTGATTGGAGTTTGCGTCCCGCGACTACTCCGACCCAGAAAGAGGCTTTACTTCGCTGTAACGCCATGGTCAAAGGGTGGTTGAAGAACTCGATGAACAAGGAGGTTTGTAGTAGTGTCCGTATGGCGTAGACAGCTCGCGAGATTTGAGTTGATCTTCAATCCCGTTTTGCCCAAGGTAGTGTCATGCGCATGTATGAACTCAAGCGTACCATCATTAGTTCATAGCAAGAGAAGGCCTTGGTCTTCGTTTTCTTACACCAAGTAATACTCCCCTGGGGGGTGTATGTTATCAAAGTGACGCAGCTAACGATTCAATCGAAGAATCGATCGAACTCGAATCAAGAACGAAACGTTCTAAATGGGATAAAACGGAACCAAAAGGACGATTCCACACCTGTGGAATGCTCGATTGGATTAAAAGGTAGATGTTCGACCACGATTGAAGAGGCTATTCAATCGATACAAGAGCTCCCAAACTTGGAATCCACCAAACTCAAACAAGTTCGCAAACTTGCGCCAAAACCAAAGTTTCTATTCAATTCAACAAGTCTGCATTTTACAACGAAATAGAAAGCCTAAACAGGCCTAGTCTATCAAACTAATAAGGAAGTCTAATTACACTACAAATCAAAAAGGAATCATAAACTACCTAAAACAATGAATCTGAATTGAACAAGGAAAAACTAATGTTGTTCTTACAAAGCAGAATTTTGTGACTTCATACTAACTTTGGGCCTTTTGTTCGAAGTCTTTCAGGTATCCAATCGTTCATCCAATGCCTTGCCTTTGTAGACAAACATACCTACTTTCATGTGGTAGAACCCTCTGGACTCGAATATCATCCATGCTCCTCGAATTGAGCTCCAAAGTAGGCTTCATGAATACGTTTCCATACTTAACAATTCTCTGGCACTTTCCCTTGAGCTTCAACGCATACCAATGTGTAGATGGACACTCCAACTTCAATACAAGCTCTTAAAATTGAATTTTCACCGAGGCAGTTAAGAGAACCGAGCCTCCAAAGTTGGCTACCTGAAACAGTTAAAACACTTACCCAAAAATTAGTGTTCTTCAAGCAGCTTGAGCTTGCTTATTCCTCAAGTAATTCCAACTTGTAGAGTTGCCTATTTGGGATCATATCACCTAGTTACGAGGTTTGTGGGATGAAATTCAGTCACTTACACCCTTTTTATCGTGCACTTGCTCCGGTTATACTTGTGATGTCAAGAGACGTCAAAGAATAGTGAGGGAAGGCGAGCGCTTGTTTGATCTCTTAATGGGGCCCGCTCGATAATGCTTTTGCTACTATTAAGTCCCAGATTTTGGCGATGAAACCAACCCCTATGCTTGCTGAAGCGTACCATCTGGTAACAAATGACGAACAACAACGGTTGATTGCTTCTAGTCGTCGCCCTCGACCCGAAGCCGCTGGGTTCCAGGCACATGGTGAGAAGAAGATGGAGCGTGCCTCCTTGTTGGTGGATCATGATCGTAATAAGGAGCACGATGCAGATGGTAACCCGAGATGCTCTCACTGCAAACATACTGAGTATGTTAAGGAGACTTGTTATCGTCTTATCAGTTTCCCTCCCATGAACAACGAGAAGGAGGAGCCATTTGTTCACGACTTGATCGTGGAGCTCGTTTGTCTCCATAGGTTGCGCAAGTAGATGCTGCTAATAGCCCTCTACCCGACCTCTCCGTTCGCCAGTTCAAGCAACTAAAGGCCCTACTCAACGGGGATTCATGGTTCGACTGAACCATCCTCCAACATGGCAACTAGTTTTTCTATTGACTTAGCCTCGTGGGCTATTGATTCTGGGTGCAATGAGCACATCGTTAATCGTGACTCTATATTGGATTCTAAATTGGACTCGAGTTCGGCTCTACAGGTTAAAATACCCAACAATATAGGTATTCAGGTTCGCAGTATTGGAACATCAAAATTATCTGATGATCTATTATTACGTTGTGTTCTTCATGTTCCTGATTTTCAGTGCAACTTGCTCTCTGTCAATCGACTGGCTGCTGACCTCCTAGTCGCGTTTATATTTTTGGGTGACTTTTGTGTGATTCAGGACTTACCATCCAAGAGGATGATTGGGATGGGTAAGCAAGATGATGGGTTATATATTCTGAGGCTATTCGCGCATGAGCATCTGGACGCACACTCAGTTCGAAGATCCTTGGATAATACTGACCTATGGCACTCTCGCCTTGGACATCCGTCTGTTGCAAAGTTACATGCTTTGGAGAATTTACTTCATTTTTCTTTTGTTCGCAATAAGGAGCCTTGTCGGTCTTGTTTGCGAGCTAAAAAAACTCGGAACTCGTTTGAGTCCAACACCATTAAGACTAAGTCGGTTTTTTATCTTATGCATGTTGACATTTGGGCGGTTATAAGATTGCGTCTTCTTTAGGCTCTCATTATTTTCTAAAATTGTGGATGACTTTAGTCGTACATTCTGGGTTTTCTTATTAAAGTATAACTTTGATGTTGCTTGTCACCTACTCTACTTTTGTAATCTGGTGCGAATGCAGTTTAACACACAGGTCCGACGGATCTGGGCTGATAATGGTCTCAAGTTTTCTTGCGCGGCTTTGACATCCTCTTATGAATAAGAAGGGATTGTTTTGCAGACCTCCTGCACTGATACTCCAAAACAGAATGGAGTAGTGGAGCGCAAACACCGGCACTTGTTGGATATTGCGTGTGCCTTGAGATTTCATGCCAATCTCCCTCTCAAGTTTTTTTTTGGGGGGGGGGGGGGCAATGCGTTCTGACAGCGGCTTGTTTGGTCTATGCTCGTGATAATCATCACAATCTTTATAAATTAGGTGTGCGTGGGCACGCATGTATCTTTCTGGGTTATCCTTCTTCTCAACGTGGGTATCGCGTCTATGATCTCGAGCGTCATAACAACTACACCTCCGGGATGTGCAATTTCTCGAGTCAATGTTTCCTTACCGTGATTTTGATGGGGCGGATACTCTTACTCCAACTCGTGTATCCCTTTCCCCGACGAGTGCTCCTGGTCCTTCTCCCCTTATCCATGAAGACCTGCATGTCCCATCTCCTATTGTTCCCATTACTGATAAGAACGAGCAACTGGCTTCCTCTCCTGCTTCTTCGCCTCTTGTGGAGTCACAAGCCTTCCTCGATCTCTTTCAACAATCCAACGAGCCCTTTCTCCCCTTGGATCACACAACTGGCTCGCCCGACCCAGCTTCTTCTTCTCCTGAGTGCTCTAGTCCAGCCGACACTTCCCCTAAGGCATCACCGATTTCATCTCCAACAGTGCCGCTCCAGGCAGTCCGGCGCGGTGACCGAGTTTGATTCCCTTCTACTCGATTGCGCGGTTTCAACATTCAATACCAGACACAACTCACTCCGCCACTGTTCATTACCCTCTGGATGATTACGTCACTTACCATCGCTTGTCCACTGCACACCATGCATTTGTTCCCGCGGTCAGTGCAAATTTTGAGCCCACTTATTTTCATCAAGTTGTGCGCTGCAAGCATTAGCGAGATGCTATGTATGCGAGTTTCTTGCGTTGGTGGACAATGGTACTTGGTCGAACGTTGACTTACCTCTAGGAAAGAAGTGCATTTCTTGCCTACGCTTTTATGATTTTACTTACCTATTTTGATTCTGATTTCACTATAAAATCTATGGACCTTAAAATCCTACACTATTCACGATTTAAATAGTTAAAATCTTTAAAATCTTACAATTTTATGATTCAAATCTTTGAGTCAATTTTACTTATTTTCCCCAGAATTTTCAAAATTACGCATTTTTTTCTTCTCCTCAACATCATCTAGTTCTCTCACACTAACCACCATCAACTATAATCAATTCACATCAACGTATTAATCATCATCGATTCACCACTTCTTAACATTAATCTTGATAAATTGGAACATTAACCTTGATAAATTATCATTGTAAGTGTTATGTGCTTTTGTGTTATTCATGATTTTCCTTACTAATATTATTTCGTCTTCATTTTTATATGGACCTTAAAATCCTACGATTTTACGATTTCGATTTTACACCCATTTGCGATTCTAAGTAAAATTCCGATTTCGACTGCTTTGCTGACGGGTCCATTGATCGTTACAAGGCCCATCTCGTTGCTAAAGGTTTTACTCAGGTGGAAGGCGTCTACTATCACGATACCTTTGCTCTGGTCGCTAAGTTGGTGATTGTTCGTTGCATGTTAGTTGTTGATGTTACTCGAGGGTGGCATATTCATCAACTCGACGTTAACAATGCTTTTCTACACGGTGATCTTCATGAGGAGGTTTATATGGCTATTCCTCAGGGTTTTGCTAGTTCGGGTGAAACTAGTAGGGTGGATCACCAAGGCCCTCCTCGAGCTTAGGTTTGTTCCTAGTAGGATGGATCATGCATTGTTTACTTATCTTTGTGGGGATAAGTTGGTCACAGCTCTTATTTAAGTTGACGACATCATTCTGGCTGGCACGGATTTGGCATTCATTACTCACGTGAAGACCTTTCTTCATGACCGATTCACGATCAAGGACCTTGGTCCTCTTAAATATTTTTTTGGTGATCGAGGTTGCTCGTTCTCCTCATGGCATTGTGCTTAATCAACGCAAATATGTTCATGACATTTTGGCAGATGCTGGATTGGAGGCTGTCAAGCCTTGTTCCACTCCGATCGAGCAGCAGCACCAGCTCGATCGTCTTCCATCTCCTCTTGCTTTGGATCCTTGGGCTAATCGGCATCTCATGGATCATCTTCTCTATCTCATTTTCATTACTTATGCCATTAATCTTCTCAGTCAGGCGATGCAGTCTCCTACTAAAGCCCATGAGGACGCTGCCGTTTGTGTGCTTCGCTACCTGATGTCTTCTCCTGGCCGCGATCATTTCTTTCCTGCTAAAGGCTCTCTTACTTTGACCGCCTATTGTCATGCAGACTAGGGAGACTGTCCTCTCACTCGTCGTTCCATGACGGGTTACTTCATTATTCTCGATTCTTTTCCGGTCTCCAGGCGCACGAAGAAACAGACCATGGTGGCTCGTTCGTCTGCAGAGGCCAAATATCGTGCCATGGCCAGTAGGGTTAGTGAGATTTTATGGCTTTGTTGGCTTCTCCGCTACTTGGGTGTACCTTCGCTTGCTCCCACCACCATGTTTTTCAACAATCAGATGACTCTTCATATCTTTGCTAACCCCGTTTTCCATGAACGGACTAAGCATGTTGAGATGGATTGTCATTTTGTTCGCGAACGTGTTCAGTCGCGTGAGATCACCCTTGCGAAGATTGCTACGATGGATCAGCCAGCCGATTTGTTGATGAAGAGATTGAGTATTAATCAACTCCACCATCTCTTCGTCAAGCTCGGACTTCTTGACATCCACTCCTTCGCTTGAGGGGGGCGTGTTAGACCCCTATGGACACTTTGTAAATATTGGGGGTCCTTTTGTATTTTTCCTTTCTCTATGTAACGTGTATAGGAGTTAGGTTTTTCTATTTTGTCTATATAGGGGCAAAACAAGTTGCGGCTGAACCCTAACCAGAAGAATTTCACATGTAGGATTCATGAGTGCGTTCCCTCACCATGAACAGACGTCTCACTCGTGGTTTACACAAACCGCATAGTACTTTCTAGGCTCAAACACATATGTTGTGAGCTTTTTACTGAGGTTAGTTGTATTTCAATTCAGGATATGATTTTGCTACATTCTGCACCTAAGTGTTGGGTCTACCCGCTATTAATTTTTAGGATTCGGGTTTCCTGCAAAAAGAAATACTTCCATTAGTTAAGGAATTCAAATGATATGCTAGTATGTTTTATAGTTGGTTGTATTAGTTCCGATGATTTACTGAATTAATTATAATTTTTGTCATAATATAATATTTATCACGCTGTAGCTTTTATTGGATCATTAAAATAGTTTTTATATACTACTGCCTGATCATTTGTCATTTTTCAAGTATGATGAGATGTTTCAAAATTAGGACGTCAAAAAATATGCAAACATGTATTTATCCCAGTCTTTTAATTCCCTTTCCCTGGGCTTCTTACTCCTTTTGTTCTTTCCTTGCTTTCAGTTTGTTTTTGTTAGTGAGGTGTTTCCTTTTCATTTACATTGTAAATAATTTCAGCTTATATGTTTTGAATAGCATGCATTTGTGTATTTTATTTTTATTCAATTGAAAAGAAAAATGACAACCATTTCTTTCATGCAATTTATTGGCGGATTGGGAGATACATGGATCAAGTGGATTGATCCATGAAACCAAATATCCAACCCATAGATCATTTTGTAAAATTTTAAAAGTTTAGGTACTAAAATGTAATAATGAAATTAGGTATCAAAATGTAAAATATAAACAATACAGGTACTAAACCATAACATGCCATTTGGATCAAATGGATTGAATTTAAATGGATAATTTGGTGTATGGATTGGATTGGATTCATGGATATGGATCCTAATTGCCACCTCTAGAGCATAGTTTCTTACCATACCAAAACAAAATGTTCCATACAACAACTACTTAGTTCATTGATATTTAGTCATAGACTCGACAACGAAGAGTATGTGAACAAATAGTTTTCCTTCCATCTACCATTTCGAATAGTAGTGGTAGCCAACGGGCCATGCCTATTTAGTTTGGTTTCATATCGTTTGTTGATCTTCCATTAAAACTTGACCGGCCAATGGATCGGGGCCAATGCTAGTTGAGTTAAAAGTTGTTGTCGAGCTAAACTCACTACATATATAAAAGGGAGAAGGAGATCAAGAATATGAATCCATTCTAATATGTCCATTAGACTACACGTAACGTATACATTTCACAACCATACTACGCCCATGTATCCATTACTCAATGCTCATGACCACGACCTAACACAATTTAGACTTCCTAATCCCAATGACATTGGGGCCGTAATGGAATTTAATTAATATGATAAATAAAGATGGTCATTCAGAATTGCAAACTATTGATTTATATCTTTTTTTCCTTTTGCATACCCAGTTGAGAAGCTTGCAATATGTGTGGTACGTTTCTTTGGCACCATTTCTGCTCCCTCCAAAACGGTGTCGTCTTCACCAAATCAGTAATCTTCTTCTTCTCATACGATGGCATTCAGCGAGATCTCTCTTCTCAAAACGGTCCATTGTATCTCTTCAGTAACTTAGTTTATAGTGTCAGTGTACTGGGTAAACTCTGTTTGGGAAGAGATTGTGTTTCTTTTGATCATGAACTCTGTAGTTTGAGATCATGATTATGTTTCTTTGTATTTCCAGAAACTCATCTTTATTTTCTTTCCTATAAATAAATTTAGTTCCTTTTATCAATCCTTTGATCCTTCTTTTCTTTTCTTTTCCACTTCGCAAAACACTTTTCCTTCATAGTTATAGAAATCACAATTGGTATGAGAGCCTACTCTTTGCTCTGAATAATCGTCGCTAAAGAAACAATGCAAGCATGGCTGGGACTTCATCTGCATCCTACTCCGCAAGCACAAACACTCCTTGTTTCAATGGAACAGACTACACTGTGTGGAAAAAGAGAATGAGAATCTACATGCGTGGTGTGGACGGTGATCTATGGCGATCGTTCGAAATGGACATATTGCCATGAATGCACATTCTGTTCTCTGCTCTCTGTCCCGAGGAAAGAAGCAAAGTCTCCCAATGTGAGTCTGCTAAAGAAATATGGTAATCTCTTAAACAACGCACGAAGGTACGTCCCAGGTAAGAGAAAGTAGAATTGATGTTTTGCTTAATGAGTATGAAGCTTTTGAAATGAATTTTGGAGAATCTATTTCAAGTATGTGTAAATAGTTCAACGATCTAATTAACAGATTAAAAGGCTTAGGAAGGACTTTCTCTACCAAAGAATTAGTCAGAAAAATCTTAAAATGTCTTCCTAGAAAATTGATGCCAAAACGCACTGCTATAGAGGAAGCCAAATATTTAAATACCTTGTCCATTGAAATGTTAGTTGGTTCTCTACTGAGTCATGAAGAAGTCATAAATCAAATGAATAGGAAAGATCAGAAGAAGAAAAGATCAATTGCTTTTGAAGCTCAAAGCTTTGACAGTGACTCGGAAAGTGATTTGGGAGAAAATTTTGAATGAGAATTTTCTCTTGTAAGTAGGAAGTTCCATTGTATACTAAAAATGAAAGAGATTTCTAAGAAAGAGGTTGCATGATAATTTTTAGACATGATAATGATCGTTCCTCTAATAATAGAGGACTTCGAGAAGGAGTTGAAAGATTTCCAACTCATCAACTTGATAAAAATTTTCAAAATGAGTCCTCATCTGATCGAGGAAACTCAAAACTATATAAGTTAGTTGAAGGAAGAGAAAGGTTTAAATAAGAATTTAAGGAAGGCTCAAGGTCTTCTAATGAGAAAAGTGTGGTAAGACAGGACACATGCGTTCTAAGTGCCCTCTATTATTTCGTACCAAAGAAAAGGCACTTGCTGCCTCCTGGAGCGACTACAACTCAGATGACTATCAAGAAATAAGAAATCTTTCTTACATGGCATACGAATCAAATGGTGGAAGCTTTTCGTCTTCACAACGTGAGGAAAATCATATCTTCTCTACTGGCTATCAGGTAATATATGATTCTGAGTCAAAGGATAGTCTTGATTGTCGAACTAAAACAGAATTTTTGCATGCTTTGTCAAATTTTCAAAATGAATGCAATAAGCTGAAAGGAAGGTACTGCTTATTGAATACTGAAAATTAGACAAAGGATAAGTAATAGTAGAAATTCTTATAAATCACGTGATAAGACAATGACACATTCATCTAGAACTTATGGATCTAGAAGAGTTGATTTTCAATCTTCCTTAAATCGATACAAACATGATCCTACTGTTTTCAAGTGCTCCCATTGTAAAAGATTTGGTCATTTAGCCAAATTTTGTTATAACAAAATAAAAACCAGTAGAGCGGTGGTACCCAAAATATTTTAGGTACCTAAATGCACTAATGTTTGACTAAATGCAGAAATTGTGAGCAAATGAGAGTATTTGGTACCTGGACAGTGGGTGCTCCCACCATATGTCAGGTAAAATAGAGCTTTTCTCTGATTTAACTTACAAAAAGGTGGTAAGGTAGTTTTTCGGTGATGATAGCGTTGTTATAATTCAAGATAATGGCACTATTGGTGAAGGTTCTTTTCCTATTATCTCTAATGTTCTGTATGTCCAAGGTTTGAAACATACTCAGCTCTCTATTAGTCAGCTATGCAACACTGGGAATAGAGTTGTTTTTTAGTCTACTTCGTGCAAAATTGAAGGGATTAGCGATATAAGCTTTTTTTTATGTTAAAAGAAAAAATATGTATGTAGAATTGTCTTGAACCATTTAATGAAACCTGTTTTCAAGCCTTTTCTCAAGAGTTGGAAAATCTGCGGCATAGGAAATTAGGTCACATCTGTCTTTCAAAATTAGTAAATTTATCTAAAATGAATTCGGCACGCGGAATTCCTTCTCTAAAAGAAAAGTCAAACTTTTTCTGTGATGCTTGCGTTGCTGGTAAGTTAGCTAAAAAGAGTTTTAAATGAAAGAAAGATATTACACGATCTCGTGTTTATGAATTGATTCATATGGATCTCTTTGGTTCAACTAATGTTGTTAGTCTTGGTGGTAAGTCATTCGCTTTTGTCCTTGTTGATGATTTTTCGAGATATACATGGGTTTATCTGCTTGCTTCAAAAGGTGAAGCCTTCTTGAAGTTCATAACTTTTATTGCAAATGTTTTGACTGAATCTAAAGAAGGTATTAAAACTATTCTCAGTGATAATGGAGGAGAATTCATCTCTGGTCAGTTTAGCATATTATGTGATGATAAGGGTATAAATCACACTCTTTCTAAACCCCGTACACCACAGCAAAATGGGGGTAGTTGAACGAAAAAATAGAACTATTATAGAAACTGTTCGTACTATGTTGTTGGAATATAACTCTCCAAAAATCCTTTGGGGAGAAGCAGTATGACTGTTGTTTATGTCATTAATAGGGTCTTAATTAGAAAATACGTAAACAAAACTCCCTATGAGATTTTAAAGGAAAAATCACCTAATCTGGGATATTTTCATCCATTTGGATGCAAATGTTTTGTTCTGAATACAAAAGATCATCTACACAAGTTTGATGCAAAATCTGATAGGGCAATTTTCTTAGGTTAGTCAATCAAAGGTCAAGCTTTCAGAATATACAATCTTAGATCCAAAAAAGTGTAAGAATATGTTTTTTGTTAAATTTGATGAATCTAATAATCCAAACAAGGTCTTTGCAGACCATGTAGATTTCATTTTCCCCTTGCATGAGCATATTTCTATCAATCAACAAGGGTATCACTCACGAAATGATACAACACCTGTTGAGAATAATGAACAGCAAGAAGAACAAGGTCTTCATGATTCAACCATAGAGGAAGTGCCAAAAACAGCCACTACATACATTCATAATCCTCAATCTCAAATCATAGGAAGCATGAATGACAAAATGCATACTTGAGGTAAGTATACTCTAGGTCAGTACGTATTTGTTTCTCTTTTGGAACCGAAAAGCTATAAAGAAGCATTGAATGATGATGAATGGTTGAATGCTATACAATAAGACCTTTTACAATTTGCTAGATTGCATGTCTGGGAATTAGACCCTAGACAAATAGATCAGTTGATTACTTGATTATTTGGCACAAAATGGCTTTTCCTTCTCCTTCTCAAGTTTCCTAATACTCGTGCTCACGGAACTTATTTTTAAATTCTCTTGAATCTTTATGTTAGATCCATTTATTCTAGTTTGCTTGATATTTTGCAGTCCCTAAGAAGGACTTGCTGTTTTGTTTTTCTAATGTCTTTTGTGCTCTTTTTGTTCTCGTTCCTTTTTGTAGGATTATCTGATTTAGCAGGCGAAGGGGGAATTTGTGGTACGTCTCTTCGGCGCCGTTTCTGCTCTCTCCAAAACGGTGTCGTCTTCACCAAATCAATAATCTTCTTCTTCTCATACGACGGCGCTCTGCGGAATCTCTCTTCTCACAATGTCGACCCTAATCTCGTGGTTTGCTCGATCTGCTCAAAAGACCTGGCATCATCATCCTCTCCTCCGCCTCTCCGTTCAAGGCAGCCTTTCTGCAAACCCAACGACGGATCTTCCTCAGCTTTCTTGTTCGCTGCTCAAGATCCGTCCAACGGTCATCTCTACTTCTCTATTTATACCTTTTGCAGCACTTGGGCAAGGTTTGGCGATTTTCTCTTGATAGGTTAAGATAGGGTTTTCTTCCTACGAGTAATTTGATCCATTGTATCGCTTCAGTAACTTAGTTTACAGTATTAGTGTACTGGTTAAACTCTGTTTGGGAAGAGATTGCATTTCTTTTGATCATGAACTCTGTAGTTTGAGTTCATGATTTTGTTTCTTTGTATTTCCAGAAAATCATCTTCGTTTGCTTTCCTATAAATAAATTTAGTTCCTTTTATCAATCCTTTGATCCTTATTTCCTTTTCCACTTCGCAAAACCCTTTTTCTTCATAGTTATAGAAATCACAATATGAACTTAAAACTCTCTGCTTGCACAAACCTGCATATACTCGAAATGAAGAAAAATGGTTAGAAAGAGAAAGAATGAGAATTTTTTGCCTCCATTCCCCTCAAATAGATAAACTAAACACAACCCAACTCCCATGATAAAGAAAAACAAAAGAGTTGTTGATAAATAAATAAACAATCAAACAATTAACTAGTGTGCAAAGGAAGGAAACTAGAAAAGTAAAGTGTGGGAGCAGAGTGCCCCTGGCCTCCAAGTCGAAGTGGGCACCGCTGGAAGAGGCAAAGCACACAAAAAACAGAACACTTCCCAAAATTTTGTAGCCCCATTTTTAGGGTACCTTTCCCCTCTCAAGTCTCAACACACCTCCCTTGCCTGCCCCTTCTACTTTGGGTCCACCCTCAACCCCTCTCATGATTTTTAGTGAAGAAGTCTTATTTCGAAATTGATTCCTTATAAGAACACGAAGACAGTAATGAAAATTGTTACAAACAGTACTGTTCGTAACAAGTGAAAGTCAAGAATGCGCCAATTTAGTGAAATGGCGGATAATTCAATAATGAAACAATTTTACTAATTCCATTTTATTATCGGATAGAGAAAAACGGTCATAAACTTACTTTTGGCCTAGAACCATATCTTCGTGTATTTCAATTCTCTATACTTGAGTTAGTTTGTATTGAAATATCTTTAGGCTTCCTCTCAAGGCAAAATGGGTTTGATTTATATGTAGCTTTGGGTAAAATTGACATTGAAGTTTAATATGTGACATTTGTGCTCTAGCACTGAAGCTGAGGGTCATGTCACAAATATTGAGTTAGAAGCTATTATGAGGATCCCTATTGGAGAGAGGGATTCAGAGGATCCCTGGGGTGGAACTTAAGTGAGGCTACGAGGGTTATTTCATTGTCAGGATAGCTTACCATAAGGCCAAAACCAAATTCATACCCATGGGTAATCTGAATAGTTGGAAATGGATATGGGGCTTGCAACTGCCACCGAAATTAAAGTTCCTCATATGTAGGTGTTCCACGAATGTAATGGCAACAAAGGAGAGACTTCTCCATCGTAAGCGTTCCCTTAACGCTACCTATCAAATATTCCATAACTCCAATGAATCGCTCTTCCATTGCCTTTTGGGCTGCACCCAAGCAATTAGTTCTCGAAAAAACATCTTTCCCTGCGTCTCCCTTCCTTCTCAATCAACTTCTTTCTTCGACTGGTTATGCTCCATGAAAGACACTATCCAACCTAGATGCCTTATTTAACTGGTATTCCTAGAAGGGGAGGGATCAATGTTTTTCTAAGAATAGAGATCCTTGCCCTCTGAACATATGTCTACAAACCTATAGAAAATTCATGTAATGAACTCCATGCCTGAGGGCCTCGTCCTCAATCCTCACCCCTTCCAATTTGCTTTGGGGAACCCAAAATCATATAGCTCCACACCATCAAGCCATCACCCAATGGTGATTCACTGATGGGTTGTTCCTTAGTGACTCTTAGTCGGCGACTTATAGTGTAGTGGCTGTTAACCACCATGGGCAAGTCGCAAGTATATGACTTGCAAGTTGGGACTTTATTTTGTTCTACTATGAACAAGTATGATATGTTTGACGGCTCGCGAACAATTGAATTAATATTATAGATGTAATTTCTGGTTGCTGTGAAAAGATGTAACTCTTGTTCTCTTCTTTCGTTGGTGGAATAAAAGTGGATTTTATTGTGTGAAAAATGTAGGGAATCGAAAGGTGACCAATTTCTTGATGCTTATTGACAATGCCCCCCATTGTACCAGGAAAGATAAAACCCACCAACAACTAACATTGGCACGAACGCAAACAAAGATATTAATTCCCCTGTCACTTCCCGAAACTTGTTCAGCTGACACAGCATGAACCAGGACGAATCAAATCGAGAATCATCCCTATAACAAAAACAAAGTAAAAAGGCATAGGAAAGGAATTCAGACATCAAAGGCTCTGTGGTGGAAGTATCTGTTTGAAGCAAAAAGCCCATTTGCGAGCTTGAGCATTCAATGAAGTTTGCTACAAAAAAGCCAGAAGAAACCCAATCCAAGTCGGACAAATCTATAGTCAGCAGCACAGTAGCAGCAAATGAACCAAACATCGTCAATGAGGTTGTAGCCGAAGGCGACGCCATGATTTCATCTGTTGCATTCAACGGAGGAAAGTTTCAACTTGGTAGTCTCCAAGTTTGAAGTTTCATCCACAGTGGTGACGAAATGAGAAGTGGGTTCTAGTGCTCTACAAGACGAAAGAGGACGTTGTGAAGTTCATCCATGGAGGCAAAATGACAAATGGGTTCATGCCTTGATGGCTTTCGGTTCCCTATCTATCTATGGCTACAAGTCATGAATTTGACCCAACTTCACCGAATTGTACAGTACCTGAGTTAGTTCCAACCTTGTGGGCCAACAACATTCAACCAACATAAAGACGAAAACTTTGATTCGAGACTTGGTATCGTATTGAAAACGACCACCCTACTCTGAGTTGGGCGAAACTTAAGCATCAGAAACCACACTGAAGTCGTCATCTTCTGCGGGAGCTGGAAAGTTGAGATCCAAAAAACTGTACTTCTTCCGGTCAATTTTCGCAGCCGGGGGAGGTGGTGGAGGGAGTGAAGGGTAGGAACCACCGCCGGTGAGATGTGATCTCTTGTGCCCGCCCAGAGCTTGACCCGACCCGAACACCTTGCAGCAGTACATGCAGTGGAAAATCCTGTCCGCCACCACATTCCCCATTCCTCCGGAGCAAATCCGGCGGTGGGATCCTAATGCCTGTGAGGATCGGAACTGTTCCATACATTTCTCGCACCTCAACTTCTTCCCCTGAATTCTGCTGCTCCTTTCCATGATCCCTTGATCATCCTCCTCGATTTCCGCCCACTTCTTGATTTCTCCTCCATTTTCTGTCTCAACCTCTTCCCCTTCTTCAATTTCGCCCCTGTTGTAACTGAATCTTCGCTTCCAATTGACGTCCCTCGACAGCATCACCAGGCACATCGCTACGTCGTCCTCAGGGGAAGTATCGGAGACCGAACTCACTGGTTCTTGCTCCGCTCCAGCTGCCGGCGAATCGAAAATCCAACGCGGGTTCTCTGCCAATCCCTTATTCTGATCTCCAACCGAGTGCCGGGTCCGCTTGGATCGCCTCCGGGTCGGGTTCCTTGACTCGGTCTCGCTCTCCCTGTCCTGCACGACGGAGGACGACCCGGCGAAGGAGAACTCGGGATCCGCGACCTGGAATCTCTTCCTCGGGTCCTCCTTCAACCCATAAACAGCTTCATCGCAACCACTGCCAAAGCCCCCCAATTCCGCCACCGCTCTGCTCTTGATGATTTCCTGCTCATCTTCTTCTTCCCCTGAAGAGGAATAGGAAAAAGAAGAAAACGATTCGTTGTCATCAGGTCGACGGCGGCGGCGGCAAGTAATGGCAGATGAAGATTTGGGTGGGAGGCGGATTTTCGCCAGGTGGGATTTCATGTGGCCGCCCAAACATCTTCCATTTGGGAACACCCTGAAACAGAGCTTGCATTTGTGCCTCTCCATGAGCTTCGTTTTCTTTTTCCTCTGTCTGAGATAAAAGATGGAAGAAGAGAAAGATTTGGTATGGGAGGAGGCTAAAAGGAGTAGGTGACAAGCATTCTTCCACCAGAACTACACAAATCAGCAGTCCCAAAACTTATGAGCTTGCACCTTTGCGGGGAAGATGGGTAGAGAGAGAGAGAGAAAGCAGGGGAAGAAAAACTAAAAGCCATAACAGTCGTACACAATTGGGAAATTAGGTGGTCAATTACATTAATGGCCACTAAACCTTGAGGATACAAACAAATCGGTAACTAAACTTCGATTTTTAACATCCTCTATGTCCATCTCAATCAATTTCTATTTTCTTCCGAAATAAGAAGGAAAAGTTGCTACCAGCTTTGTTATTAGATGTAGACGACTCGTTTCTATATAGTATATGATCTAAATCTAACCTTATTTTCTCAATTTAAGTTATATTGGCTGAGAGCATGAATACCTTTCTTTTCTTTGCCTAAAAGTTAACTAGATGATCTATGTGACTGATCTCCATGACTTTTATTGCTTATGATTACTCCGGATAGGTTGACATGTCATATATATTTTTCGGAGGAAAACTTGACGAATATGAAATATGACTTCTATGTTAGTTACTTTTCAAGATGGCTAACTGCCTCCAGTGGAGTTTCGATAATAGCTTACTAGTTTCAAACCTAGATGTTATCGTGATAGTTTAGCATCTCAACCACCTTAATGATTAGGTTATTGATTATTATGTTATCTATTTTTAACTTTTTAATTGAGTTGGTGCTGACCCATAATTTAGTGACCTTATACATAATTTACCGTAACAAAATGGGGAAGGGGAATATTTATTGTTATTTATTACAATTAGATTATCTCTTATTCTCTTTTAAGAAGGGTAGTTAAAGGATTTTTCCATTAGCAAACGCCTTGTTCATTATAGAATGCATCTTCTTCAGTTCTCTATTTTAAGTAGACATTGAAATAAATCAACCACCTTCTCCTACACATACAATGAAGTTTGACATAAATGAATATTTGTTTATTAAGTATTGCAATGGACGTTTTACTTCCACACGATGTATCAAATAGGGGTATTCAAATGGTTATCGTGGCAATAACCAAATCAATTAAGTCTAAATTTTATTAACCACGGAATAAAACGTTTTAACCAAATCGTCCAAATTAGCACAAAAACCAAATTAACCAAACCAAAGTTTAATTGGATTGGTTGATCGCATAATCGGATTAACCAAATAAAATAACATTACATGAAAACAATTATCCTGTTAATGAATAAAACATAATCATATGTTATTACTATCATAAACTATCATTATATATAAGAAATAATAATAAGACTAACCATGATCATCATCATCATTCGGGTTAATACATCATTCATCATCACCGCACCTAATATAGTTAGCTTACAACAAACCCTTAACATAAATATTAAATACATACCAATACCACTCATCAGGAAGTTAATGCTCTCCTACAAAACACTTAAACTATACATAGTTTGAGGTTGATGTCATGGTATTGTACGTAATCCTAAAGTCTAGTAGTTGTTCAAAAATGTTTTAGTTTAGTAAATAGGTAGTCTCATTTAATTTTTGACCCATAATGCTTTGGTTTGTTGTGCACATGGAAATAAAATAGGGAATCACGAAAGTTTGGTTTTGTTAGTTGCATGGGAGTATAAATAATTTTGTAATTAGGTGTATAATTAATTGGTTAATTGGTTTCATTGGTTAGCAGTGTTGAAACCAAACCAAATAAGCTAAATTGTTTAACCAAACCAAACCAATTATCCAAATTAACCAAACCAAATTAACCGAATGCTACTGGTTAATATGATTACCACGGTAACCAATCTGTTTGAACACCCCTAGTATCAATGAGCTTAAAATCATGGATTTAACAATCTCTAATTTTGAGAGGGGGGGGGGGGTGAGAAACAGAGCGCAAAGGGGCGCTCCTCTAACCCTTAGATATTAACTGAACAGGGGGACTGAATCCCCAAAGTTGAAAAATACAACCAATAGCTCAGTGTTGAGCTTTGGTTGTCAAACACATGAATCCCCATAGGTAGGCCTAGGCCTGTTAACGGGTGGCCGGTTATCCGGTTAACCGCGTAACCGAATCGAGACCGTCGGTTTTTTGGTTGACCGAAAACTGCGTCGTCGGTGTCGGTTGGCTATTACCGGCAAATTAGAGAGGGATGCGGTTATCAGTGAAAACTGAAACCATGGCAGTTAAACCGCGACCGAAAGCCGCGTCGTCGGTGTTGGTTGGCGCTTTCGGTTGGCAGTGTCACGACCTTACTCTTGGTCGTCCGACCCTAGCTCTCAATTCCGTTAGAGATCCTAGGCAGCCTTCTCACAAGCTCTCAAACTCACTCAACTCACAAGAAGAAGACACAAGAAGATGGGAGAAACTCTATAGTTGTATTGCTCACAAAAATGATGGATGCTTACAAATGAGGAGGAGGTGCTCCTTTTATAGGCCCTCCTCTCTTACAAGGTGTAAATACCTCTCATAATGCTCTCCCCCATTAACACACTGATAACGATGTAATTGCACATATTTGCGCCCCTAGTTCTTATCCGTTTGAGGGGCATAGTCGTGTGTTTTGGCCTATTTTACGCCGGGTTGTGCTATTTTGTCATGTTTCAGGTCCCAGGCGTTAAAGGGAAGGCTAACCGCGAGTTTCGGGGCATTCGGAAGTCATTCGGTTAGCTGGAGCCAAAACACGGGCAGACCCAAGGCATTACACGGCCGTGTACTGCTGGCCGTGCTTTTTATGCCGAGAGCAAATTCAGTTTGGCCAATTCAGCTGCAAACACGGGCACCGAAGCACGGCCGTGTCCAACGCGAAGCACGGCCGTATTTAACCCACTTGCTGGCCGTGTAATTAAGCCCTGGCCGAGACACGGGCGGAGTCAGGCAAAGCACGGCCGTGCCCTCGATCGTGCTTTGGCCACTGATGCTTTTAAGCAGATTTTCAGCCACAATTCAGGGGGATTGGAGTTTTTGAGAGAAAGAACGACTTCTAGAGAGAGAAAGTGACGAGCAAGAGTTCCCAAGTGCCCTAGATTGATCTTCAACACCATTGGAGGCCAGCTTGAGCTTGGAGAAGTGCCAATCAACGTCCAGAAGCAGGAATCCATCCTTCGCAGTATGAATTCCGTGTCTGATTCTGCTTTTGCTTTCTTCTCCATGGAGTAGTTCTCTCATTCATCTGGGTATGGAGAACCCTAGATTTGTATGTTAGGCTTTGATTGTATGAACCCAAGTGCTGATTCTGTGATTGATTATATTCGATTGAGGTTTTAATGATTGAATGACTTGAATCCTGATCAAATTCCTGTTGTTTCTGCTTTAACCTAGAATGAGAATATCTGCCTAGTGGAGGAGTGCATGAGGGAGTCTACCACACCCCAGGAGCAGTTGGCCTTCATCGCCAATGCGAGGCGCCTCGATCCATACAGCAGCACATATAATGAGGGGTGGCGCCAGCATCCCAACTTCGCCTGGAGCAGCAACACCACTAAACCACCTGGTTTCCCAGCACCAGCAGGTGGTTTTCAGCAGAGGCAGCCCTTCCAGGCTCGCCAGGGGCCAGACCCACAGCAACAGCCCTACCAGCCCAGGCAGGGGCAGCCATTCCAGCAGCCCCAGCGCCAGTTTGCCGAGCCAGCAGCAGCTCCGGCCCCAGATGACAGGATGACGAAGCTGGAAAACATTCTAGCTTCATTCATGACTAGCACCCAGGCTGCTATCATATCACTGGAGGCAGGTCAGCGGAACCAGGGTGCCATTTTGCAAGATCTGCAGACCCAGGTGGGCATCTTGGCCCGCCAAAACACTACCAGAGCACCGGGGACTCTGCCTGCCACCACTGTTCCGAATCCTCGAGATCCTCACCAGCATCAGCAGCTGGATGCCATTTTTACCAGGAGCGGTAAGACCATATCTGCTGATCCTGTCCCGGCCAGACAGGAGGAACCACTGCCTGCTTCAGCACTTCTAGCCGACGATGCAGAAGTGCGGGTGGAGAAGGAAGCCCCTGCTCCCAAGCCACAACCAGTGGTTAAGGAGCATGTACCCCAGCTTCCCTTCCCCACTCGCCTACACAAGGACAAGCTGGAGACTGAGTTTGCCAAGTTCATGGCAATGTTGAAGCAGCTCAACATCAGCATACCGTTCATGGAGGCACTGTCGAAGATGCCCAAGTATGCCAAGTTCATGAAAGATATCTGCACCAACAAGAAGAAACTTGGGGATCTTTCGACAGTAATGCTCAGTGAGGAGTGTTCTGCCATCCTGCAGAACAAGCTGCCCGAGAAGCGCAAGGATCCAGGGAGTTTTACTATCCCTCCTACTATTGGCAGCATGCATGTAGGAAAGTCCTTGGCGGACCTAGGCGCTAGCATTAACGTCATGCCATATAAGTTGTATAAAATGCTAGACCTAGGTGAACTTAGTCCTACTAGGATGAGCATTCAATTAGCTGATCGTTCTATTGTGCATCCTAGGGGAATCATAGAGGATCTGCTTGTTAGTGTTGGTGCATTCACATATCCTGTTGATTTTATTATTCTTGATATACATGAGGATGTGGATGTACCCTTGATTCTAGGTAGGCCATTTCTTGCCACCGCCAAGGCACTTATTGATGTGCATGATGGTAAACTGATACTGCGTGCTGGGGATGAACAGGCTACTTTTTCTGTGACCGAGTTTGATCACTGTGCTATGATTGATGTCACGCCTGTGCATGCTATGTCTGATCAGGTACACGAGCCTGTCGTGTATCCTTCTGCACCTCCTATTTTGCAGGACCCTCCTATCATTCCTTCGCCGCCACTCCATCCAGCCTCGCCTCCGAACAAAAAGCTCAAGGAGGAGTGGCGGCCGAAGCAGCAAGTTGCTAAGCCTGCGCGGAAGAAGAGTGGAGACCACTATGAGCTGGTCCCACCTCCTGCACCACGACCACCCTGGCCGTCTGGGTACTCACTCGCCTGCATCTTGCCGGATGGCCAGGTCGAGCTGACCGATGATGGTGGTCGCATCCGTCGGGTGCAGGGCCACAACCTGAAGCTGTACCTCAAGAGCGACGTGGATCCGCTCTTGGAGGCACCTGTTCCTGCACCGCCCTGAGTATCCACCATGGGCGTCCAGCTAATACGACGGTAAAGAAGCGCTTGTGGGGAGGCAACCCCACCACGGTTTGATTTTCTTTCTTGTGTTTTGAGTCGGATTGTAACCCGGTTTGGGTTTGGTTTGTTTTCTTTTGGTTTGGATGGTATTTTATTGGGCTGACCATTGCACCTAACATATTGTGTTTGAGCTCTTCTGTTCCCCTTTGGCTGTGCTTGCCCCGACTGGCCCGTTTCCAGTCTCCTGCAGTCCGTGCATACCGGTAACATCGTTCCCTTTTCCTTCCCTCTTCTCCATTGAGGGCAATGTCGAGCTTAAGTGTGGGGGGATGTTTATCTTTAACTGCATTAGATCTGTTTGTGTGCTTGGAGCCTAGTCCACTGTCCAAATTTTTAAATTTGAGGGCTCCAAGTACGTGTTTCCATGCAATTGCCTGCTCAGTATGCTTTGAATTGACAGTCTTTATAGTAATATGCAACCTAGGGAGGTAGTGTAGCACTATGGAGGATGTTGATGCATTTAAGAAGTCTCGTTTCTTCTTCATATTGTGTTGGTTGATTGAGTGAATTAGTGATCTTAGGACCCTTGAATTGTGTGGTGTTGTGGATTCTCTGCCTGTCATGGACTCTTGTGTCATGTTTTGAAAATAACAGGTGCTCGAAAATGTGCTTCAAAATAAACGTCTCCCGTGCGAATAGGGCGAAAGTGTGTAAGGGGAGACGGGAATCCGTTCCCAATTTCCACCTACTACCTCCAGCCCCCTTACATGTCTTTCCCCCGCACGAGGCTCGAGACATCCGCTCCTGGCATGGCCGGTAAGAGCGGGTTGGGACCCTTGAAAAGAAAAGAAAAGAAAATAACAGAAAACAAGCAAAACAGAAAGAAAAGGGGTTCCAACCATCCTTAAGCAGAAAATAGAGCACCTTGAAAAATGTGAGTCCATGATCTGTTGTTTTTGAGAATCTCTTCATCCACAATTCATTTCTCCTCTGTTCACTATTTGCCATGATGCCGACTCGCCGAAGAAGCTATGAGATGACTTGTGCGTCGGTTGACCTCGTAAGTTGCTAAATGATCTAGGAAGTCCTCTACCTACGATCTGGGTTGTTTGTTGCTATAGAGGTCTGGAGAGCTGCATTGGTTTGAGTTAGGTTTGCTTGGGGACAAGCAAACGGTTAAGTGTGGGGGAGTTTGATAACGATGTAATTGCACATATTTGCGCCCCTAGTTCTTATCCGTTTGAGGGGCATAGTCGTGTGTTTGGCCTATTTTACGCCGGGTTGTGCTATTTTGTCATGTTTCAGGTCCCAGGCGTTAAAGGGAAGGCTAACCGCGAGTTTCGGGGCATTCGGAAGTCATTTCGGTGAGCTGGAGCCAAAACACGGGCAGACCCAAGGCATTACACGGCCGTGTACTGCTGGCCGTGCTTTTTATGCCGAGAGCAAATTCAGTTTGGCCAATTCAGCTGCAAACACGGGCACCGAAGCACGGCCGTGTTCCACCAAAGCACGGCCGTGTCCAACGCGAAGCACGGCCGTATTTAACCCACTTGCTGGCCGTGTAATTAAACCCTGGCCGAGACACGGGCGGAGTCAGGCAAAGCACGGCCGTGCCCTCGACCGTGCTTTGGCCACTGATGCTTTTAAGCAGATTTTCAGCCACAATTCAGGGGGATTGGATTTTTTGAGAGAAAGAACGACTTCTAGAGAGAGAAAGTGACGAGCAAGAGTTCCCAAGTGCCCTAGATTGATCTTCAACACCATTGGAGGCCAGCTTGAGCTTGGAGAAGTGCCAATAAACGTCCAGAAGCAGGAATCCATCCTTCCTAGTATGAATTCCGTGTCTGATTCAACTTTTGCTTTCTTCTCCATGGAGTAGTTCTCCCATTCATCTGGGTATGGAGAACCCTAGATTTGTATGTTAGGCTTTGATTGTATGAACCCAAGTGCTAATTCTGTGATTGATTATATTCGATTGAGGTTTTAATGATTGAATGACTTGAATCCTGATCAAATTCCTGTTGTTTCTGCTTTAACCTAGAATGAGAATATCTGCCTTAGGTTAATAGTGTATCCTTGATTGAAGGTAGGGAGTTGGTGACTTTAGTCGTGGAACCAACTCACTATTCTGTACCGGATTTACTCCGGTAGTGGAGGTTTTGTTCTTAGGGCCTCAATCTGTCTACTCCGGTGGAGGTTAGTCGCCCGCTAGAGATTCAGATTGAGAGGGTCTGAAGACCTTTAGTCGAGACTTCAGGCTGTTTAAGAACCTTCCGCAGTATAACTTTCATAGAAACTGAACTTGGTAATTACAATCCGGCTTAACTGCAGTCTAGGGGGAACCATATCCGGGTGACCTCTCTTAACCTGAATACAACCGTTTGTTTGCTTTGTTAGTTTGTTAGTTTAGATTTGCATTCCAGTTTCATTGCTAGATAACAAGAATTCACTGAGTAGTCATCACATTTAGGACCCGGGTTGATAATTAAACCCAAACCCGCTATACTACGCTTTAGGAAGTGGTTTCACTTGGCCAATTCCTGGAGTGACAGTAGAGTCGAGTTACACACCTTATTAAGTTTCCCCCATAATGCACACCATTATACCACCTCATAATGTGGCTCTTTATGTGCACCATTAAGCTCATCTTCAAGATGGGGAATCCTAGGAGCATCATATGCTACTAGGTCTTCCTTAATGCCACGCGTGCTTGACTTGGTCATGATCCGCCACATCACTCACCATGTTGCTTGCCAAGTGTGATATTCTCCACCACCTATTCTCGCGATGCCCTCGTTGCGTCCTTGCTACGAAATGTCTCCATCGTAATTGGTGACATTCTTCTCCACTCAATCGACGACGCCCTAGCCGTGGCTCTTTAGAAGACGCCTCCCTTGCCTTAGCTTCATTTATTGCAAGGTCTCATTGCGCCTTCCTCCAAACCAAGATGGCCTTGGCTCGCTCTCAAGCCTTGTGCTCCCATGAAGTTGCGCACTCCTCTGCGGTCTTCTCCGTCGCGTCTTCGAGTGTCCCGAATTCTCGATCATGGTGGCCTTCCCTTGATTCTCCTGGAAAGTCAAAGATAACTCATCCTCGTCTCTCATGGCTCCACGATGTTGTGCACTCCTCCTTCTTGTCCTTCTCCAACGAGTCTCATGGCTCAAGTGAGTCGCTGCCTCCACCATCGTTGCCACTTCTCTCTGGTATTACCTTGCCAAAAACCTCTTGTTTAGCTCGAGTTGCTCTCTTGTCATGGGAACCGATCTTGCTCCGCCATTGATGCAGAATCTATTGGCGTAGGGGATCGGGAAAGCTTTCTCCCGCACCATGAACTCCATGCCAGTGATGACCTGATAGTCATCTAACGACACAACCTCAAAGTCCACCACCCCGGTCCATCCTCCAAGCATGAGTGGCACCTAGAGCGCTACTCCATGAGTTCTTGTGGCCCTTGAGTTGGTAGCCTTCATCCACCCTCTTTGCTTCTTCTCGTACGTGATGCCTACCCTCTGCACTTCATCTATGTCGAGAAGGTTGCCGCTTGCCCCAGTATCAACCAAGGCTTTTGTCTTCCTTTGGTTGAGCTTTGCCTCTACAAAGCATTGGTCGTGTCGCTCAGGATGGGGAGGCTCTTCTGCCCGCTTGATGGCGCTCAATCTCTTCATGCAACCAATCTTCGCGACATGGGGCTCCACTCTTGGAGTCGCCTCCGCTTCTTCTTCTAAGCTCGAGCACTCTGCTAATAAGACCTTCATCGCCGACAACTTATGTTTTTTTGGGAAATCTCTCACACGATGCGGACCATCACAAAGGAAGCAAGTAAGTGGTTTCTCAACCTTATGACTACCTCCTTGGTCCAATCTACCACGCCTTCGTGTGTCTCTATCATAGTCGCGTCAACCTCCATTGCCTCCAAACTCCACACGGTCCTCCGGATTGTGGTACTCGACTAGGGACTTGGCAATCGCCATTGCATCGGCAAGACTTTGCACGCCTCGTCGTTGTAGCTCCAACTTCCCCCATGGTAAGAGCCGTAAAGGAAGGTGAACATGGCCTCCTTGTTGGTGTAGTCTAGGATCTCAGAGCAACAATTCAGAAAACTCTTTCACATACCCTCGAATCTCTCCTTCGTGAGCAAGCCTCCTTAGTCTCGACCGGGATTCAAACTCAACATTATCGGGGTAGAATTGCCTCTTGATCTCCCTCTTGAAGTCATCCCATGACTCCATCACGCACGTCCCTTTATTGATATCACCTTGTGTCCTTCTCCACCATAGCATAACAACATCACTCAAGTAAAGAGGTGCAGTTTTTACCTTGGTATTCTCATCTCAAATACCTGAAGCTTCGAAGTATGGCTCTAAGCTCCATAGGAAGTTCTCTAACTCCCTTGCATTCCTCGACCCTTGAAAGCTCTTTGGTCTTGGAATCTTCATGGTTGAGGTAGGTTGTGAGATGGCAGGTCCGTTAGCCATGGCCCTCTTTACAAGCGTCACCTCACTTTTGGGATCCGCAACCTCCTCCTTCAAATGTTCATCTCAGCAACAACCGCCTCCTTCATTACCTCAATGGCATCGATCATGGCGGTGGAGATGGTGTCTTTGATGATGGCCATGAGCTCTTCTTGAAGCCCTTCATTATCAACCTCCAAACTCGTCACTCTAGCCGCCACACCTTGAACACCAGCTTGGATTTGGGTGAAGTTAGCCTCCAAATCCTCGATGGCGGTGACATCTTCAGCCAGCTTCATCTCTACTCTAGGGACTAGCTTCTCTAGAGCCGCCATAGGATCATGAGTGTTGGACGCGTTCTTTGGCCTGGAATGCTTTGTTGAATCTCTTCCACGTTGCTCCTCCTTTTCAGCATCATCGTGAACTTCTAATCCAAACATCTTTGTGAGGCTCTCGCTCTTTCTTCTCTTCCTTCTTGGGGAGTGAGGACACCGACTCTTATCTTCAGAACCAGGCTCTGATACCAACTTTCACGGGTGTTAGTCATGGTTGTGTGACCCTAGCTTTCAATTCTGTTAGAGATGCTAGGAAGCCTTCTCACAAGCTCTCAGACTCACTCAACTCACAAGAAGAAGACACAAGAAGATGGGAGAAACTCTATAGTTGTATTGCTCACAAAAATGATGGATGATAACAAATGAGGAGGAGGTGCTCCTTTTATAGGCCCTCCTCTCTTACAAGGTGTAAATACCTCTCATAATGCTCTCCCCAATTAACACACCTTATTTAGTTTCCCCCATAATGCACACCATTATACCACCTCGTAATGTGGCTCTTTATGTGCACCATTAAGCTCATCTTCAAGATGGGGAATCCTAGGAGCATCCTATGCTACTAGGTCTTCCTTAATGACACGCGTGCTTGACTTGGTCATGAACTCATGATCCGCCACATCACCCGCCATGTCGCTCACCACGTGTGACAGCAGCCACCGGCAAATTAGAGAGGGTTGCGGTTATCGGTGAAAACTGAAACCGTGACAGTTAAATCGCGACAACCGCGCACCCCATCATCTCAGACTCCCCGGCGTCCATGCTGCCAGCCGTCAGCCAATCGTCACTCGTCGCCACCCTGCTCGGCTTCCCCACCGTCGCCTTTGTCCTCCCGCTCCTAGTCCCACACTCCCACTAATCGTTGCCATGGCGATACCCCAATCGTCACTCATCTTGCCATCGTCGCGCGCAGTCCCACCATCGCTTAGCAGTCCGTTGTCACCCTGCATCCTGCCATCTAGCAAGGCCGATGTCATCCTGTGATCCCAACTTCGCCTAGCAAGGCCGACGTCACCTAGCAAATCCAGATATATGGCCAGATCCACCCCCTGCGTCGGTCTTTAGTTAACCGCGACACCGACCCGAAATCGTCGATGATGGTTTTTGGCTGTCCGACAAGGCGATCGGTGTCGGTTGTGGTTGAGCTTTTAGGATGTTAGTCTGTTGCAATTAACTGCGTTTGCAGTTCGATTAAAACTGAAACCGCATCGCTAACAGACCTAGGTAGGGCGTAGGCTATGACCAGCTGAAGCTAAGAAGTCCTCAACTACGTTACCCTCTCGAAACACATGGCCGATTTAAACCTCCCACTCCCTTGCCAAAAGACTACGAATAGTGGTCACTTGAACAAAGTGCGGTTGGCCCGAAGTTGCTTCTTGGATGAGTTGTACTGCTATTGCCGAATCTGTCTACACCATCACCTTGCGACATCCCTCTTTCCAAGCTAGTTGAAGACCATAAGCAATCCCAGCTAACTTCGCATGAGTAATTGATCCACTACCCAAATTTGCAGAGAAGGCCTTCACGAACCAACCACCTCATCCCTGATCACTCCCCCCGTTGCCGTGCTCGCCTGTCCACCCACCACCGAAAGGAAGTGTCTCCCCATAATCCGGTCCGCCGTCTATAATGCCAGCTCCACCTCCCTCCTTTGAAACATGACTTGATGCATAAGCTGCTACTCAGTTGCGAGGGATTTCTCAAACAACTAGATTTTCCTGTTCTTCCATAGAATCCAACAAGTGATAGAAAACAACGAGGAGCTGATGCACTTGCTCCTGTCAGCCAAGTAATGCATAACCCATTGTTCAACATTAGTCCCAAAGAACACAACATCAGATTCATCCGCTAAGACTGCGGACCACGTGGATCTTGCATACAGACAATCCTGAATAATGTGGATAGTCGTTTCAGGACTTTCTCTGCAAACCAGGTACGCCGTGAACTGATCCAAATGACGCTGACACCTCTCAGCTTGGTGAGCAGCTTATTGTGAAGCACAAGCCAAAAGAAAGGTCGTAATCTCTGAGGTCCATTGATTTTCCATGCTGCCTTCCAGACCGGTTGGTGAAGGCTCTCACCTACCCCAACTTCCGTCAACTCATAGGTTGTGGCCACTGTAAAATGCCCAGGATTTGAGAGTCTCTAACACTGGACATCCGGCTCATTCTCGTGAGGTAGTGGATGGAGTTGGAGCTGCATGACAACTACTTTAGGGAGAAAAGCACGGGCATAGTCGAGATTCTAGCTTTCGTTAAGAACCATCTCCACTACTATTACGTACTTACGTTTAAAGCTTTTAATGGAAGATTTTACGCCAAATTGATGAGGGGAGGACCATCCTGTAACCAGACATCTTCCCAGAACCGGGTTCTCATACCATTCCTCATGTTCCACATAATCTCTCTGGGTATCAAATGGAGGACTAACAACACTCCCCTCCAAAGGTTAGATAACATGCCCGTTGTGTGTGGGACCCACTCTTCAACATAAAGGCTTTGTTCATTCGTGTAGCGTTTTGAAGTCTAAACCCCCTTCTGCTTTCGGTCTACACAGAGTGTCCCAATCAGCAAGGTGGATCTTCCGTCCCTACTTCGAACTTCCCCAGATAAACCCACAGATCTTCTTATCGATAGAATCTCGTACAATGACAAGGAGGAAGGAGGTATGCATTATATATGCAGGTAGCACTCCAAGAAGCGAATGCACAAGTGTGATCCGTGCCGCCAGAGACAAGGTTGCCACTTTTCAGCTGACCATCTTTGCATCAATTCTGCCAACCAGATCTACAAAAGTTGCCTTCGATACACGATCATGAATGACCGGGACTCTCAGATACTGGGAAAGGTTGGTGGTCTGCGGGATATTAAGGACATCGCTCAGGTAACTGTAGTTTGTAGTGGAGACGTTCTGAGAAAATAACACACACGATTTTGGGGAAAAAAATCCAAAACTACCACTATTTAAAAAAATGCAAAAATACCACTCATTCCCAACAATTTCCAAAAATACCACCGTTTATTAAAAACCGCGCCTCTAATAAGCAGTTAATATATAAACCGCGCCTCCAGGCAGCATTTACTTCATAACTGCCTTGCCAACAGGTGGTTTTTAATTTAAGCTAAAACCGCTCCTCAGAGGCGCATTTTATATACTAACCTACCACAAAACACTTCATGAGGAAGCGTTTAATTGTCGGCATGATAAACCGCCCCACTAGGCGGTTTACCATGTGCAGACATAAACCGCTGACCCAAGGCGCGGTTTGTGCCTGGTCACCTGACATCAGACATGTCGGCATGCAGGGGGTGGGGCTGCATGGCAGACCTAAAACCGCTCCCACCCCCCCCCCCTAAAACGCTGTTTCAATGAACTCAAATTCTTCACACTCCTCCTCCTTCTTCAAATTTCAGTTGTGCACATTTAAATTATTTAGTTTTTGCGATTAACGTTAATTCGTAAGTTTGTTTTGTATTACTTTTCATTGTCCTTTGTGATTTTATGTTAGTAACTTAATTACTTTTCATTGTCAGGTCTCCTTTTGTATTACTTTTCATTGTCCTTTGCGATTTTATGTTAGTAACTTAATTACAGCTTTATTGCAGATGCCATTCCAAAGGTTCGCGCTTGGGTTGCGGTGGAATGGTTACACGGAAGAGACCGAATGGATCGCTGTGGAATGAGGAATTCCTCTTTACCACTCAAGAGGACGTTGATGACATGGTCCAATTTTTGACCACCAATAAAATTAAGCAAGCGGAGATGTTCGTTTACACCGAGGCCGTCGAAGGTGGTGTAGGTCATTATGGAGATGGCCAAATATCTGGTATCCACGGTGGGAGTGTATTATACGAAGATCATCCCCACCAGGATTTCCAAGACTCGAGCTGGAGGCAGGAGTATCATGATGGAACTGGAGGTCATCATCAATCCTTCCCTTCATATGAAGAAGAAGCTCAACAGGCGGATCACAACCAATAAGCAGGCTACCAGTACCCACCCGAGTACAACTTCTACCAAAGCGATGTTAGTTACCAGAACTACCATTACGGAGCTGGTGAAGGTGAAGGTGCCTTTCATGATGATAATCAGATGGAAGAAGAGGTCAATCCAAGTCCAGTTAGTGACCCTGAGGTTGAAGAAGAGGAAGGCGAAGTTAGTGCAGACAGCTTCGATCCTCTAGAAGGTGCTGATGATTCCGGTCCAGATTCAGTCGCAGATGGTGATGAGGTACCTCGCGACCGTGTACCTATCCCATACTACAATCAGATTCAAAATTAATATTGGTATGTTGATGCCGACATGGACCCGCCAGAGGTGCCAGTATGGGCTCCACTCACTGGCTTTACGAAGGGCCAACAATTTGCAACGAAGAATGAGGTCCGACACGCTATCGCCACTGAAGCAATGACTCGGAGTTTTGAATGGCAAACAATCCATTCCGACACAAAGAGGCTGAAGGTTCGATGCAAAAATGAAAATGAGGGATGTAAAGCTAGGGTCCGGGCCATCAAAAGCAAGAGAGTCGGCCATTGGGTCATATCCCGTGCGGTGAACACACACACATGTGTGTCATCAATAACATCCAAAGGTCATTGACAGTTGAAATCAAGGGTGGTTGCCGCGGCTATCAAACATCTAATTGAGGAGCAGCCCGACTTGAAGGTGAAAACCATCATCGCCGACATTTCTAGTCGTTATGGTTATATCATTAACTACAAGAAAGCGTGGCATGGGAAACAGAAAGCAATGGCCGCCGTGTTTGGTGACTGGGAAGAATCATATGCATTCCTTCCCAAATTGATTTTGGCGTTGGAGGTGTCTAACCCTGACACCATTTTCTCGCCTCGCTACCAAGATGAAGAAATTCAACCGCCGGTGCCTGGTAACAACCTCCAATTCAAGCGTCTTTTCTGGGCATTCAAGCCATGTATTGATGGTTTTCCATACCGTGTTCCTGTGATTCGAGTTGATGGAACGTTCCTTACCAGCAAGTACAAGGGTACTCTACTGATCAGCAGCGGAGCAGATGCAAATAGAGCAGTATATCCATTAGCATTTGCCATTGTGGAGGGAGAGAATACCGATAGCTATGGATGGTTCTTCAGAAAAATTCAGCTTCATGTCACCAGGAGGACAAACCTGACTTTAATCTCAGATCGCCACGCCGGTATACAGGCTGCTATCTTAGGCTTGGATCCAGCCTGGAACTGGTCACAGAGATGGTGCATACGACATTTCAAGAGAAACTGGAACCATCATTTCAAGCGAAAGAAGCTTGCTGATAGTCTATGGTGGATCGATAAGCGTTCTAATTAATTGTTATATATATTTTTTCAACTTGATAAAACGAGGACTAAATCAATACAATACAATAGTTATTTTGACTCTTTATAAAGTAATGCATGCATAAGAAAATGGGGTTTTAAGCGATCATCATGATCCTCCCATTCCCTGGGAAAATCGGGTTCTAAGCGATCCTCGGATCCCCCCTTTTTCTGTCAAACAGGATGTGTTTCTAAGGAGATGTAAACCTCTCCTAAGAGTCTTACGAGTGTACTTGTATTGAGGGTAAGGTCGGTCTTGCTTACCTTACGTTTTTGTTTTATATTCATCAGCTGTCGCATACAGAGAAAAGAAATTTAAAGAGAAGATGCAGAATATCCGTTAGCTATGCCCTGAAGGTGTGCAGTGGCTTGATCAACATGACCTTGCAATGTGGACGTTTCATAAGGACGGAGGTACTAGATGGGGTATTGCCACAACAAACTCAAGCGAGAGTATCAACAACGTCTATAGGGAATGTCGTGCACTCCCCATCTCTACAATTGTTGAGATGACATTCGGGAAAACAAATGGAAGGTTCGTCAACCGTCTCCACTGGTGTGAGAAGAGGGAGGCACAAGGTAAGGTACACTCCGATCATGCCACAAAAATAATGGAAAAATATAACCGGAAGAGCTCTCGTCACAAAGTCACCGTTATGAACCGAAATGCTAGTGAATATTCGGTCGAGACTGGGCACTGGGAGGATGGGAGACGTGGAGCTCATTGCCATGAAGTCACCGTCAACTTTAGGACTAAAAAGGGGGAGTGCTCTTGTCATAAGTATCAGGGTAGAGGTATACCATATTCCCATGCAATGGATGTAATAAATCACAGGAGCAAAGACCCTCGTCAATTCGTTAGTCCGTTCTTCAACATCGACTCACAAAAGAGTAGTTATCGTACTAGTTTCCGTGCATTGGCGGATGAAGCTTACTGGCCAGTTTATGAGGGTATGATCATCATTCCACCAATCGGTCTTAGGCGGGAAACATGGCGCCCACGAGTAAAAAGGATTCCAAATGAGATGGATCAAAGTGGAAGACCACCGCGAGGGCCAAGGCGGTGTTCCATATGCAAAGTACCCGGGCATGATAAACAAAAATGTCCCGGACCAATTGGTCCTCAAAATCCAGGGGACGATGTGGTGAACCCGGATAATGGCGCATAGATTGATTTCATGCATTTGTTCCATCTTTGTGTATTAATTTCATGCATTTGTTCCATCTTTGTGCATTTGTTAAATGGTAACTCTACTTGTATTTTGTGTGCTTAAATGACATTGGAGATTTGCACAATTAACAAACTTCGATGCAATGTTCCATCTTTTTGAATAAAACACATCACGAACACAAAAACACTACTTGATGAACTCAAAAATAACTTCAACTAAAAACAAATTGTTCAACTTAATTTAAAGAAAACATAACTTGAAATAACCACAACTTGTCACACTCATGCATTATTTCGACAATTTTCCCTCTGTTTCCTTGTGCGATGGGCGACTAGTCCACCGTGTGTAGCAGAGGGTAGAACGGGTGGCAGATTCCTATTCGTCGTAGAAGGGCGCTCATCCGTGCTATGTCGCCTCGGTGACGTGATAGGTGGCCCCTCCGTGTGCAGTCGAGGACTATCCACGCTCATACAGTGGGGAGTGGACTGCCATTGTTGTTGTGGTCGATGCAAAGGTGAGAAGTCTTGGTGGGGACTTGAGTATGAACCATCGGCCCAAGTAGCTGAGGACGTGGCGTCATGAAATGTACTTGGCTGTTGTTCATACGGGAAACTGGGCCGGAGATTGTATTGGAAACTCGATCGGGGATCATACTGGCTTCCGGGCGTGGGATCATGTTGAGTACTTGGTCGAGGATCGTAGTGAAAACTCGACCGGGGATCATACTGAGTAGTGAACCCTGCACCTTCGTACACCTCCAATGGAGTAGGCACCTTCCACGCCGGAATCAGCTTGATCTCCGACACGTGAGGTCGATCCCTTGTAACTTTGTTTGGCCTTCTATGGACCGGCGGAGGCACGTGGGGGACATCCTTCGTCACCGGCGGCGGTCTCACTGGGGGAACTGGCGGGTATCTATGATGGTTACGTCCGCGCGCTCTCATACAGCCAAGGAGACTGTTCGCTATCCTTCGAATGAGCCCCACCTCTCGACCCGCAGCCGAATAATCTACAATACGAGCGAGGTCGTGTATACGCTCGATGCCATCAACCTAAATCGATGAAAATAACAGCGTGAGCCATTTAAAAAGTAATGCACCACATGCCTAAATAAATAAAAACTGAATTACTTAACAAAGCTTCGTCCGCCGCACCTTCGGGGGTCATGTAACAAACAAATTGTCTTCGTTATGTTTCCATGTATGGGTCATGGTAGCTCATCCGCCCCACATGAGATCCCGTCACAATATCCTGATCTTGCCTAACGTTCCACAGAGCGATCAATTCTCCATACTCCTCCGACCAATTAGTAGCTCCTTGTTGACCATCTTTCCCGTGGTACCCCCTATGACTCTCCGGGACATCCAATGGTAGGCATTGCTCACGTCCGAATTGTCGTAGACATCGATCCGACAAGTGCCACTCCACTATATGGTGACAGATTAGTGGAACTCGGGTGCACCATTGACTGGGATGCAACGGGAACTTGTGGACGTGATGCCTGACAATGCGTTCTGGATACGGATCAAACTTAAGCTACGAAGGTGCAGAAAAAATAGAACATTAAGAAACATAATAATATAAGTTGAAAAAAAAGTAGGAAGTAATAGTGTATATGATGCTCACCTCTGCTTCCCAAAGGCGATCAAGCCTCCTACGATACTCCTCCAACTTATGTGCTCCTAGGTTGTCGCATGTTTTTTCACCAAGCCACCAATTCAATCCAAAAAGTACATAATGTTAATACAGCTGGTTCGTTATAAAATACCCAATTAGTAAAAAAAAAAAGGTGAGAACTATGAGCGGGATAGAAATACCTATTCAATCCAAAAAGTACATCATGTTAATACATAACAGCTGGTTCGTTATAAAATACCTACAACCATAAGCTTCATGTCGTAGGGGATGGTCGGGTCCCCATTCCTTGTCGGGGTCTACCTTTGGCGCAATCCATGGCAAATGCTCCCAAGCCCAAAATTGAACGATGAACATGGCCCCATCAATCTCCTTCACTGCTCTCGCACTAGCATTACAGAGGGATCGGTAGAGATGAGCTAGGCAAGCAGATGCCCAGCTCAGGTTTCCAATATCATCCTAACTCCCAAGTATGATCTTCAACCATGAATTGCTGATTAAGTTGTTGGGTTTCTTGGGGAAGAAAACTCATCCGATCATGCCGAGGATGTAGATACGTGCATAAATGTCTTTATCACGCTCCGAACTTTCCTCCGTGAGGGGAATGCTTCCAAACTCAGGGTTGTGCTTACCCTTGATATCCGCTGTCAACCACGTGATGGATACTTTGCCCTTGGACAATGGTGGATGACCATCCGCATCGTGATCTCCCTTTTCTGGCGGACACAACCCGGTGACCGTCCATATAAAATGCTGCCAACCAGTCATATTGGAAACAACTTTAGGTGGTGGCGTAGAGTCCACACACCATCGATGGGCGAATCGGTTAGGATGGCGATGTCCTTAAGTGTGATGGTGCACTCGCCTTCACGAAAATTGAAGCAGTGTGTCTCCTTTCGCCATCTCTCTACCAATGTTGTGATGAGTTGGCGGTCGATCTTGATTCCATTAAAATGCCTAATCGAATCCAATCTTGCCGTTTTTAGAAAGGGCAAGATGACGTTGTTCCATTCAACCATGTTCGTCGTGCCCCTATAACGGACTATATAGTATGCATCCTAGAGAAGAATTTAACTTTCACTATAAGTTGATGATTTATACATATATAAATATATTATAAGATGCAATATTAATTAAATCAAGGTTGTTTAAGTGAAACATACATTATCTAATAAACATTAATTTTAACATAACTAAAATATTTTATAATATGCAATATTAATTAAATCAAGGGTGTTTTAGATAAATATACATTATCTAATAAACATTAATTTTAACATAACTAAAATATTTTATAAGATGCAATATTAATTAAATCAAGGTTGTTTTAGAGAAATATACATTATATAAACAATATTTTTAACATAACTAAAATAATTTTCGAAATTTAAGTATAATTATTTTTTGTACACATACACATAAAATCAAATATATTATTTTGTTAATCGTATTGATTATTTTCAATAATTTAAAGCAATACAAGTACACTCCTAAGACTCTTAGGAGAGATATACATCTCCTTAGAAACACAGTCTTTTTGACAGAAAAGGGGGGGGGGATCCAAGGATCGCTTAGAACCCGATTTTCCCAGGTCATGGGGGGATCATGATGATCTCTTAAGTCCCCATTTCCTTAGACATGCATTTCTTTATAAAGAGTCTAAATAAGTGTTGTATTTAAATTATTCAAAATAATCAATACGATTAACAATTAAGTAAATTATTGTACAAACAAATAAATTACTTTAACAAAATACAAATTACAAGTGATGATAAATAATATGTACCTTGTGGTCATTCCAAACGTCTCTTGAACGATGATTGGCTTGATCATATAAAATAGCCGGATCAATCGGTCCTTGATCAACATAATATCGTTGAGTGTAAATATCAACATCCGGCCCAACCTACGATAGCATAACAACAACATAAATCAATTAGTATATAAATTAAATAAATCATTATAACAACAACAACAATTGGGTAAAATGAGTAAGTACCGCTTGATAATCATCGTAGTAAATACCCTCTTCTTGGATAAAATCGGCCATTGTTTCAGAATCCGGACAGAGATTCGATGGTTTTTTAGTGAAAACCAAAGAAATTTTTTTAAGGCAGATCGGACTATGCCGCAACCAACAAAACAACTAATTCTAAGATTTTTGGGTGGGGAGGGGGGTGGGTAGAGTGAGGGGTTAGAGAGAGAGAGGGGGGAATGAGGTTTGGTGTGGTGAAAATGGGAGGGAGAAGGGGGTTTATATAGGGACGAAACCGCGTGCTCGAGGGGCGGTTTCGTCCTTTTACCCCACCTAAAATCGCACCTTCAGCGCGCGGTTTGCGTTCCCCAAGATTCAAAACGCACTTCGGTGGAGCGGTTTGTTTATAGTGGTAGTTTTGCATTTTTTCCCGATTTTGGTCTGCTCACTTGCTAACTAGAAGCCATCCCAAAAACTTCTAGGCACTGCGAGATAATCTGCACCTGTTCGAGAGAGGCTACACCAAACAAAACGAGATCGTCGGCAAAGAAAAGGTAGAACAGCGGTGGTCCTCTTTGTGACAATGAAATCGGCTTCCATTTGCCCTCCTCGACAGTGATCCTCGACAGTGCACTAATGAGGTGCCCCAGTCTCTCCATACAAAGAGTGAACAAGTAAGGGGAGAGCGGGCAGCCTGCCTGAGCCCTCTGGCCGGAGAAAACTCCTCGGTAAGTCCCCTGTTCCACTGGATCTGCATACCCATTGTAACATCGATGAACTTCGTGGGGGCGCTCGGCGCTTCCATGGTGTCTCGCACGAAGCTCCATTTGATGCGGTGATAGGCCTTTGCTAGATCGATTTCAAGCACCATCCACCACTTCTTCCCCTAATTCGCCAGCATCAAACGAACAACTTCCTGTCAAAAACCAATATTGCAGTAATATGCAATGTTGCCGGAACCGAACCGGAGTATGAACCGAGATGATGAACGGTTCACACTTTATTGGTTTAACTGGTACAAATCGTTAATAAAATCGTTATCCAACCTTTTTCTTATAAATAAAAATATTATAAATGGACCACATATAATTACATTTCACACCTTCCAAATAAAACAAATTATCATTCACTCTAAAAATTAAAAATAATGATTTTGTAAATCTTAGTAAGCTACTCGGTTTGGAGTGGCACTCAATTAGGGATGGCAATGGGCGTGTTTGTCTAAACTATCCCATCCCCATTTTCAAATACTCAAACCCATACCCGCCCCATCTCCATGCGGAAAATGTTTTGCAAACCCATCCCCATACTCTGGGATTTTGGATACCCATGGGTAATCGTCGTCCCCATATTACATTAAATGAATCTATTATATCATGAAGTCAACAAAACACTGTCATTTTCTTAATACGGTTAAAAAAATATGATACTAAAACATTCATTAATACATAATATAGAGTACAATATTTTCCAAATTATTATGCTCTAACTCTAATACATCTACTATGTAATAATTAACCAACATAATCTTGTTAGCAAGGGGGAAAGTGAAAGAGTGAAGGGAAAATTGAGGGAAATGAATTAGGTTTTGATTAGAGTGACCACTCAATTGCATTTCTACTATTTATTTTCTCGAGTTATCCTCAGCAACATTGATAGATTATAATTTGATCCACATATTTATTTATATGTGAAGAAATTCTCTTCGTGGTGCGGGTATGAGTATGGTGCGAGGGAGGCTAAAACCATACCCTCCCCATAACCATAAAAATTTTTGCGGGTTTTACCCATACCCGGTCAAAGCGGGGATTTTCCACGTTTACTAGGTCGGGGGCGGTCGAGTACCCGCGACCATGGGTTTGATTGTCATCCCTACACTCAACCTTCCAGAGACTTCCACGGGATATATTTATTCACTTTTATTCAATATATCCCCTATTATATTATTTATAGTTGGCACTCAAACCCTCTAAACCCTAGAGCCACTATCGCAAATTTTCCGCTGCTTCTTGCAAATTGTCTCCCTCTATAACCGAGACTAGGGAGGAATCCCACGTAAGCCAGATTTCCCTCGCAAAGCCCACCGCATCAACGACGAGCCATTTTGTCGTACCCCATCTTCTGAAGGACCTCTTTAGCTTTGTCCCCAATTATTCTCGACTCAACTATAATAGCCATACACGATCGATATCTCCTTTTGTACTCTTTGAAAATTCTGAGGAAATGTTTCTTTCCCGCACCCCTACAGTTCCATGAGAAGATGTTCATCATCATCTATAAATGATGGAGTAAAGGTCCTAGCTTACGCAAAAATCACGTCTGCATGGTCCCTAGCATCACTTTGGTGGTTTCACGTGGTGTCTAAGCCGGTATGATCTCTGAAGAAGACGACTTATGAATCTCAGGGGAACTTGACACATTGGGCGGTCTTGTAAGGAGATAAGGTAGGATAGAACCTTGCCTATCCACCAAATTTGGTACGCTCGCCTTCGTCAAGTCCACTACCGATCCTCCTTTCTCACTTAGCTTTGTAGCGACACTTAGGGTCTGACTCTCAGTTATGAGGGGTGCATGGCTTAACCCTAATACATTCACATTCACCTCTTTATTAGCGGTTGGCATGGTAGCTGATTGCATGGGGTCTTCTAAATCACGTGACTAAGTTGGGGCAGGTACATGGCTCGATATCTTTTGCTTCACATCGTGCCGAGACTACCCATGGTAAGCTCTTCGAGTTTGTGCAAACCCACTATTTCCACCTTGTGAAGATTGTGGCTCTTCTAGAGTATGGTCACTCTGCTGGTCATCCATCCCATCCGTGGCTAAACCATGGAACCTCGAACCACTAGATGACCTGTTGGCTTTGTCCTTATTCATAGGGGAAACGGTTAAAATCATTTATAGATGTACTCAGGATATGGTCGAGCTTCGACCAAAAGGTTTAAGATGCATCCACATTCCAGACCAATTCCCATATTGTTCACTTTGACCAAGTGGAATAAGCAGCCGAAGACGTTCCATATCAGTATCCACATGACATTTATAACTATCGTTCGTTGCAGCAAAAGTTGATTCATGAAGCAGGACTGGAATGGAAAAAAGGATAGTAAGAGGCATACAAATATAAAGTAGAAAAGAAGCAATCAAACACATTTGCTATAAAACAATACGACTTTCTAGAGTTATGTTATCAACTAATAATGAACTTGCAATATGACACAAAATGGACATTGTGTGATGATCAACATGATCCTCCTCTCTCAACCAATAATATCAATTGATATACCAATTGTACACATTCAAAATGAGTATTACTAAGTTTCTCTAAAAACAAATGTCATGGATTAGAGTGCTATGGGCTCTATCGATAGTTCAATACCAGGAATCCCGAGTTACACAAATCAATTGACATTAGCATAATAAAATTCAAAGGAAGTTCCAGAATAATTGCGATGGACTGCAGTCCATGTACTTGATTGTAATTTGCAGTCCATGTACTTGATCCTCGTCTTCTTAAATGAACTCTGATCATACTTTGTTGATTTGATCATAAAATAAACTAAGAAATCCTAATTAAGGTACAGGGATTCAGGAAATAACTACATTTCTAAGACAATGATAAGAAAGAGGGATAGTACAATTAGAAGACAGACTCACTTGATGCCAAGATCAATATGCTTCTGGATACCGAAACCAAAGCAGTCAGTGTCGCTGAAGTTACTCCTCGGGAGCTCGTACTCTTTAACCTTCCTTGTCACCTTGTGACCCGACATAGTAAGCACGAAGAACTCCTAAAAATATTGCTATAAAAATCCTAATAAAAGCATACCCTCGGAATAAACTGAGGTTTGACCGCTGATTTGTTCCAGACCCGCGAGTAAAGTCAAAAAGTATCACTATATAGGAATAATGGAGGAAACTGCTAACAATCTAGAGCAAGGAAAAAGTATCAGAGAGAAATACGGTGATGGGAACCTTGGCAAAGCAGTTGAGGCATTCTTCGCTTTTTTGTGTGGAGAAGTTGAGCACCAGTTCAGTGCTGGTTTCGTATCCTAAATTGTTCACATTGAATATTTGCAGCAAGGATAAGGATGACATAGTTAATCCATTTTCAGTCAATGAATTGGGAATAAAAGCAGCAAGAGGGAAAGATAGCTAGAACCAAATGAGCAAGTTGTGGTCTCATTTCAGGTAATCATGCAAGCTATGGTTCTAGAACTTAAGAGTAAAAAGAAACAAAAAAGAATCAAACCTTACACAATTGATGGAGTACGAAGTTGTCCTCGCCTTCAGTTGTGCAACCTCATCAATTTAGTGTTGCAGCTTAAGAGAAAATACAACCACGCCATATTAATGTACAACAATAACTTCTCCAATTACTAAAGTACAACAAAAACTTCCGAAATACAAAAAAAGAACCTTCTATCGACAATACATGACAGCCTTTTCTATCAAGTAGGAGCAGAGCACATGACAGTAAGAAGTCTGATAAAAAACGAACATCGAAAAAGCTTTGTTCGGAGTTTGGCTGTACAATTTGGAAGCTATGACTTGTGATCCTCTTCTAAAGTTAGTTAACCAACAATATGCAATTTAGAAGAGCATTGTGGAGCATAGCGAGAGAGAGAGAGAGAGAGAGAGAGAGAGAGAGAGAGATCACACCTGAGTAATTGGTATCTAGATCGAGATATGAGTTTGGACTCTTGAAGCAACAATTACCCCGCAGTTTGGATACTATCCTCCTCAGTGTCATCGTGAGTGAATCATCCAACGAAATCTCCATTTAGGTTAACCCTTACAAAGATGTCATCTGATGTAGCTGTTATACTTTCATGGCCCAAGATCACTTTCTGTAAGTGAAAATAATAGGTTGAATTCAAGAGGTTTGATATTTGCTTATCTATGTATAAGATAGGAAAACACGTACCTATACACATCACACATTTATTATTGTACTTAAGTAGTCAAGTGACGAAGAGCTTAAATCATTTTCTGGATATATCAAAGCAAGGTGGAAGAGCTTTCATCACGAAGCGCCGAGGTCAAAACGATATGTTTTGCAGCCGACCTTCAAGAATCCTGCAAAGTAGCAAAGACATCACTCCTCAAATCTATGAAAAGGAAAACAGCCGTATAGTCCACCCATCAACAAACAAAAAGACAGATCAGAATCAGCCCAGATGTTTGAAAATCCATCTACATGTAAAAACACATAAATATCCAGTTAACTGATTCAATTGGATGGTCTGCATAGCTGTTGAGTATTTGTCATCTCTAGAATCAACCTTAGAAAAGCAATCATTTAAGAAGCAATGATGAAATACATAACCATTTATTAGAGAAAGGAGTCGTTCCAATAGAATTTCACTAACATAGTACAATTTTAACCCCCCCCCCCCCCCACTTCAGCAATGAATTGATTAGAACACCAACCCCATTGTAGAAAGTCAACCAGCTAAAATCTAACCTTATGCTGGAAATTTGAGAGAAATTGAGACTTACCCCAATGCCAATAATGACTCCAGTCACCACATGAACCGAAGTGAGGTATGTGAGCCAAGCCTCCCTCTTGAGAGTCATCACATAAGCAAAGACGCGATGAAGAATAGGGTAAGGGTGCCGACAGCCTGATTAAAGGACAACGGAAGGAAGCGGAGGAAGATGTTCCCAAACACCATCGTTATCTTACAAACACCCATTGAAAACAAAGCTTTAACTTCTAATTACGATGTATAATCTCGTTAACAAAAACAAACAAAATAAGGTCTAGGTGCCTAAGCGGAATGACATTAGCTTCAATCATTAATATAAGGAACTGCATTTTATCATTCGAAGAAGCCAATCGATTATTCTCATATCCAGAAGAAGAACCCCTGGAACTTTAGGTACGCAGAATCGATTGATATAAGTGAGCTATTGGTCTTGTGAAAATAACAGAAATAGATTTAGAATCGCGAGTTAAAAGGAAGATAAAAATCAAATACGAACCCAGCTATGAAGGGAATACCTCGGTAGAGCTGTCAGTCCCAATTGAAGTGATCGAAAGAACTGTATCACGGAGAAGAATTGGTTGTACTGCAGCCTGCAGGTATGGATAATCGATTGACAAAGGTGAGCTTGTGGTTTTGAGAAGAAGGAAAAATCATGCAAAGATAAATGAGGAGAGATGAACAACTGTCTCTGGAGAAACCACTTGTACTGCCAGCGAAAGACCAAAAAAATTCCCCGAGTCTGCAGAGGTGCAGGCGATGCCGAGGAGGACATTCGGTTGCGGGGTTTCTTCCAAGTCTCTAGAACAGTTTTCTCTTTCTTTCTTCATACAACCACTGAGCCTGTTCAGATGCACGTGTGCCAGACGTAAAATATGAACTTTCCAAAATTGCCCTTCCGAATGACGCTATGGAGGCAGGGATTTTGAAATGGGGCTCCTGTTTTTCCCTTCAGCCTATTATATTATGTGTAGATAACGGGAACCCAAATATGAAATGGATGTTGTCTGAGCCCAGCCCAAGAGGAGTATGGAAGGCCCATGCAGGTAACTGAGCGTACAAAAACCTTGGCAGTTTAATCAAAATTTCAGAATCAGAAAATATAATGATATTCTATAAGAAAGCCAAATCATAATTAATTAGCTTCGTTTTCTCCAAAAAACCCCAAATGCCAGCTTCCCTTTAGTTTGATGGAACCCAAGGCTGTCGATCGATTTAGTATGTTGAACCGACCGAATTAGTGAGTGAAGAGTTAATGGTCTAATCGTTTTAGGTTGATTTAATTCAATTTAGTTCCAATATATGAAAAAGCCATTACGTTTTTCATACATATATATAAACTATATCAAATTTCATCTAACATATGAGTAATAACATATAACATTATATTTTGTGATTGACACCTTGAATGAACGGGAAAGACCTAAGAAATTTAGATTGAACTCGTGATCAAAAGGTTCGAACCCATCATTTGTGCTTTGACTCTAAAGAATTGAAACTAGTGTTTCTATGTTTTGACGAATACAGGCAAAATCCAAAACTGATGTGTGGCGACCATATTTCACCGGGTCGTTTTCCCCACTGGGTTTGGTTCAACTTGCATAGTAACAAGATGAAACCAATGGATTAATAAACTGTAAACCCAGATTGGTTGAGCTTGTCTTCAGCCCGCAGAGATGATGAGTTGAGCTTGGTGGATAGGTCTGACTAGTGGGCTGGGTTAGCCCACAACTAGGGTTGGCGGTTCGATTCAGGTTTGGGTAAACAACCCAAAACCCACAAAACCCAAAACTCGTTATCCTTTGAAAACGGAACTCGAATCCGATAGGAGAGTTTTTAGTTTTAGTTAACCCGAAACCAAAAAACCCAAAAATGAAAACACCCTATGGGATATGAAGCGTTTGTATCTTTAGCTAAATCCGAAACCGAAACCGAAAAATAAAGCCCAAACCCGAAACAAAACAGAAACCAAAAACCCGATAATACATCTTATCGGTTTGGGTTCGGTTAAAACCAAAAACCCGAATTGACACCCCTAGCCACAACCTAACTAGGTTGGGCAAAATAGGTGGATCGAACCATGACGGGTCGGATGACCATAACCGAGCTAGTGAGACTGAGTTTGATCCAACCAAACCAAAGTTATTCAAATCGATTGCGCTGGCCGCGAACAACAGAGGAACATGGAACAGGTAGAGATTCAAGGCCTTTCTACCTGCCAGTGATGACTCACCGGGAAGACGGAGGCCAACTAGGTCGGGTTTCAGATGGAGACCGTGATTGTTGGACTAGAGCAGGGGGTATGATCACTACTCGGTAGCGATGAGGAGGCATGGAGGAATGGAAAGTGGTAGAGGGGTCGTTCCAGTCCGAGTGCAACAGGA